CGCGGAATAGACCGATTAGACGAGGTATACAGAAGCGCACCAGGCGTCAATTCCGGCTCCTTTTGCTTAGTATCCAGTCTGTGCACACCGAGATGCACGCACGTTCTCGGCACTTTGCCAGCAGCACCGGAAGGTTGGGATTTCAAGAGCCTCCCTCCGCTCAGCTGACTCGTGGGCACTAGCCACGCAGGTTTTGGCCATGGCTCAGCCGCCTTCGAAACGCTCGCCCGAGTACCAAACAATGGGGAATGGCTAAAGTAGCTCGTTTGGCTGGTGTTGATCCATCGCGTTGCTGGAGTTTCGCAGAAAAGAATCGTCGACTCAGGAAGCAAAACTCGAGCGGTGAAAGAGGCCGGGTAAAGCTGAAGCCGAGGGACGATTGTCACCAGGTACACTAGGACATCGGCTTCGTGATGGCAAGGGCTAAGGTGAGACATGCAGACGCATTGCAACGAGGGAAAACGTCAGTGAGAGACATTGGACTGGCAATGTCTCGCTCGCTGCCGTGCCGAGGGAGCGGTCGGTGATGGAGGTGAGGGATCTGAGTCAACTGACGGTCGGTGGTGCATCCGATACGCGCCACACCATGTGTACAACGAAGACAGCGTCGATAGCTGGCCGTGTTATAAGACCCAAGGCATGAACGGTTGGTAGAGGCTGAGGTGAGGTGGCATCGGCAGACCACGGCACTATGGGGATTTGCTAGTGACAGCCATCGATTGGGTTGGCGGGAGGCCTTGAGAAGCCATGCGCGGCATGCTTTGTTTGAGTTTTCTGGGGAACGATCTGCCGAATGTTGGTCGACCAAAAGCTATGTAGATATTCACAGGGACGATAGACTATCCGTAGAGAGGGTTGACTCGAGGCCGTTAGGGTTTTAGGAGGTCCAAGATTGGGTCACACGGTTGGGGAGTGAGTTGAAGGGGCGGCCGGCGCGCAGCGGCCACGGCGGCAAGAGCTCACATCACAGGGACCTGGCCGGATAAGTCGAATGATAGGCTGGACGCGTGAAGAGCATGAAAAACGGAGGCAGGGGAGTCCGAGGGGCTCGCAGTGACCTTTCCCAATCCAGCCATCGAACCTGCCTTATGTCATGAGATGTCTGACACGGGATACGGAGTATGGGCAACCGCAGAGAAGACGTGACTCCTTCCATACCTACCTTAATTACGGCGTACCTACCTTCCTTTGCACTTATCGTATTGTCAACCTGGGAGGTATCCGTACTCAACGTGGAAGGTACCCATCCTCAACCTGCTTTGAGCAACACCACCAACTACTACTGTCTGACGACTTGGCAGGGACAGGATGGACAATCCAATCGTGGAGGGAGTTTAGCAGTCCAAGAGACGAAGAGTCATGGAAAGAGGCACGTAACCATAACAAAGTGTTGGAAGGCAAATTGGACGGCATAGTGCCCATCAAACCAGGGGCAATTCGTGCCGTGCACCCCTCGCGTGATGAAAAGGCATTGATGAATGAGGGACTGCAGAAGCACATTTCAAGCCAACCGAGATATTGCGTCTGGGTGAATGTGCCCAGGAATGTTTTCAGCACACTTGTCGACACGGGTTGTGCGCATTGTGAGTGGTGAAATGTTTAGCGGGACGCCGTGGACTGCTGAACAACACCGGGAGAAAGATCCACTGAATACCCTCGTTGAGGCCCGTCTGCGGCCTTGACTGGTCTCTTTCCTGGTGGGGTCATTCGATGGACATCCAGGGTTTGGTCCGCCACGGAAGATACAGCACCTTAACTGGAGAGAGAGGACGCTGAGGAGTCTGGAATTCCCGGCCACACGACAACAGCCCGGCCAGGTCGAGAGTCCCCGGCCTCCGATGTGGGTCTTTGAATAGGCCCCACCTGTCCATCCCACGCCCACACCCCCCTTCTCACAACCACAACAATTCCCATACCCTCCCCCCTCTTTCTGGCTTCCCCCTCCTCTTCCTCCTCCACCTCTGCGTCTGTCCCTCTGCTTATTCCTCCTCGTGCTCCTCCTCCTCTTCCAGGTCTCCTCTCCTTTTGGTGTGTCTTTTTCACCCTTCCCGGTCCCTGGTCCGCATCCATCAAACCCACACCCTCTACTCCGTACCCCACCCAGGCTTCACTCCCCTCCGTCCATCGAATCCAACAACACAATGGAAGGGTGGAAGGCCATGAAATCCCTCCTCTCTCCTCTCTGTGCCTCTCTTCCATCCTGGGCCTGGTCCATCAATCCCTCAATTCCATTCTCACGCTAATCTCGGCACCCCTGCCATGAAGACTGTCGCCTCCCCAATAGGGCATGCAGACGTCGATGCATCGCCTCACGCGAAGCTCACTCACACTGAGCTCCGTCCCACCGTCGCCGCCAGAGAGGGTCGTCGGGATTTTTCCTACAAGGACGCCCATCATCGTCACCTACGTCCCTTATTGGCCCCTGTCCACGCCCAACTGTGGCCTGCCCATGTTAGTCCCAAAGTTGGCCGACCCATCACACACAAAATACCCGTTCCCGAGTCCTGCCTGGTCCGTGGAGTCGTGGTACCCCAGCATCTCTGGCCTGGACCCCGGGACCAGCGCCGCGACTGGTTCAACGAGACTGTACAAAGTACACACCAGAGCGGCCGAGTGAAAGAGAGAGACAGACACACACACCTCTGCAGGAAACTTGACCGGACGCTACCCAGTAGCCCACGCATCGTTGTACATAATGATGTCCCACCCTCCTTCTTTTCACACGAGATCCCTCTTGAACGGTTCTGGGCTTCTTCGTCGTTGCTTCTACTCGCGTCTTTCCTTGATACCCCGAGTTGCTGTTGCTACGCTACCATCAGCCGGCCTCGCCCTGACCTGACCTGTCAGCTCCATTCACGGACCATGACGATAGCAACATAGCCAGACGTCTCTGTCCCATGCTGCAGAAGCTCGCCGACAACTTACGCGCCGCTCGCCCTGCCTCGTTCGCCGGAATATATACGAATATCTGGAATACGGTTCAAGTCAAAATAAACCTTGGACTTCAGCGGGACTGAGGACGTTACTTGGGGAAATCATTCAAACTACACGTCTATCAGAAGGCATACGGCACCGTAAACTGCCCTCAGTACCACTGGCGTCACAGCTACGATATATCATTACGGTTGAGGACGATTATCATACTGCAGTACTCGCCAGCACATCGTCCAAAGGAGTATTAGTTACCAGAAGAGGACAACCACCAAGCGGCCACCCGAGTTGACCACGAACGAAAAACCTTTCCGCCATATACATACTAGCCGCTCACAAGCTATAAGTCGAACATGGCCAACGAATCTCTTGCAAGGGGAGGCTGCCCCATACCGTTCTACTCTGCGAGCCTGTTTCCAATCGACGAAGGGTGTAAGTATCATGACTTAAAGCATGAAGGATCAAGTTGTTGACCTTCCACAGTTATCGAAGGCCGGCTATGCCAGAACCTGACAGCAACCTTGCAATGCTGCTTGCCCTGCCCGCTTACTGATTGGGTCTATCCCGATTACTTCAACACTCTGACGACGGCAGCCAACTGGGTCTGCGTCGCTAGCGCAGCATGCTGTCTTTTCCTCCTGATATCATGGGCCGTTCTGCCTGTTGATAAAACCTACAGACATTACCTCAGCATCTGCTTGACAATAGCCGTGTTCATCATGAACGTAAGTAGCCCTGCCTTCGGACAGGGAACAGGGAGACTGACCTCTTCTTCAGCTTGGCTTCGTCGTGCCACTTGCCGATCAACCAGAGCAATGTTACAACGACATCACACCGCACAGCATGAAGTCTAGCAAAGTCTGTGGTGCATCTGGCGCTTTCCTCTTGCTCGGAGGCTGGGCCGGTGTCATGTGGGTCTTCTTACGATCATTGTCCCTGCATCTCCAGATTTGTTGGCAAGTTGTCGTGGGCCGCAACTTTATGATCTTTGCTCAAGCTACGGGCTGGGGCATTCCACTTGTTGGCATCGTCGTTGCCCTCGTCTTCAGTGGCGTGTCCTTCCGATTCGGCGCAACCTGTCACATCAACCACAAGAACAGTCTTGCCGACTTCTGGATCCCTCTTCTGGTATTCGCTGGCCTAACGGTCATCATCCAATTCGCCACTTTCGGATATTGTATCAAGGTCTATCTCGCTTCCCTAGCCGATAACAGTGCGTCAACAGAAGGGTCGAGTTTGCCCACATACAGCAACAGCATCCAGACGATGAGCCCTCGTCAAGCGTACCGCCGAGTGCGACGCGTCATTTCTCTCCAATGGAGAGGTATAGCTATCGTGCTCATCATTATTGCCGATGTCATCTTCTTCTCCGTCGTCTTCGTGTTCCAAGACAACACGGTCCAGGCAGTGCATGACGACCAAAGCATTGCCCAGGCTTGGATTCTCTGTCTTGTTAGCAACAAAGGTGACAGGACAAAGTGTTACGACAAGGCCAAGAATATGGTTGTCAACGAGGCAACTATCACGGCGGTCCTGATTCTTCTGGCGGTAAGACACGCGCCCCCATACCCTGTATACATGTCACAGGTTACTGACTTAATCCAGATGAATGGTATCTGGCTGCTCTTCCTACTAGGTCGATGGGCCATGGTCCTCGGCTGGGTGGACCTCTTCACCTCCTGCCTAGGCAGAAACAAAAAGGAATTCGTATCGGTGGATGCCCGATACGATGTCAAGAAAGACACACGTGCGTACGAGATGCTGTCTAGAGACTCGAGCGCTGTTGTAACACCAATCTCTCCAGTCAAATCCCCCATCGTAAGTCCCAATAGCGAACGACGAAGAACGCCAGATTACTTTGGGCAGACGGCTCGCTACCAGCCGCCGACGCGGTCGTTCTCGAGCCCTCGACCGCCGCAAACACCACCCACTTGGGATGCACGAGCAACTTACGCTCGGCCCGAGTCACGATCCCGAGGGGACGGGCTCGATGACATGAACCCACTTGGGATGAACCGCATATAATGAGACGACGCGGCTGGTCATGACGGAACGAGAAGAAAAGTAAAAAGACGGGAAGAAAGATGCGTCTGAAATCGGACGAAACCGTATTTCAAGCGCCTACTTTAAGCGCGCGCACAACAATACCCGACAACCTAAAAAAGAGGTGGCACCATTCGGCCGAAGTTGAACTCTCCGCGCTGATCCGCGCTGACGGTGAACACTGGTGACTGACCAGTGTTGAGATCTTGAGAGATGATGTAATGTGGAGGATACCACCGGCCTCGTCGGCCATGTCAATATGTCTGAAAAAACAATGTAATATCAGCGTCGGCGTCTCGGTCTCGTTTATGCCGCGAAGGAATGCGAAGAGTACGTCGGCCCACAATTTAAAGACCCGAAAGAAGGATTGTGGGAAGGTCGGCGGCGGGAGCCTCTCTCTTATTTGATGAATGGGGATGGGCCTCGGCGCTTCAGCATCGGAGCGGGAGAGGGAACGGGAACGGCGGAACGAATCACGATTGACGGACATGTAGGAGTAGTTGAGAGTCCGAAAATAGAAGAGTCACGCGACAGCTTAATGCGAGATGGCCTTATCAAGTACCGGATTGTGCATGTCTTAAGTTCCTTGACAGCCCAATGGGTGGAAACGTAAGGAAACTACCGAACAAGGATGGTGGTGGTGGTGCTGTTGCTGTGAGTGGGATTATGGGATCAGCCCGCCCGGAAGATGCGGAATGGTCGGATTTCACGAGTGATGCGAGGAGCCCATAGGAGGGGGACCAAACAAATCGCACTGGAGCGAGCCATTGATCAAGTGCCATGTCATTGCATCCCAATGCCTTCCGCTCCGGCTTCTTCGGAGGGACCCAGGACTTGACTCCTGCTAGGCTTATGTCACGTAAGCGGAAGTGCAGATTGATTGTTCGGGCGGTGGACGGACTTTTTCGCTCATCGGCCCATTCTCTTGATTATAAGTAGATTGGGCTTCCAAGTGAAGGATTTTTCATGAGCGAGTGCAGCACCTTTTCTTACACTTATATCAGACATCCCATCATCTTTACTTAGGGACGGATAAAAACGTGTGCATGATCTGGCAACGAGGCATCAAACAACGACGAACTGTTGATCCTAGCTTACACCACAAGGACACCCATCAACTGATCGTTTCAGAAACCAGACCGAAGAATTAATTGAACTCACTTGATTCAAACCACCTCGACTGCGGAAGAGAAACAAATATTTAACTCAGCCTCAGAATTGTGGGCAACCAACGACGACAGGCGGTGCTGAGATTTGGCCTGAAAGTCAGGCGGGTTCGAATAACAGACCGAGAGCGAGACACCACGGCAGCGGAACCTGACCGAGGAGCAAAGAAGAAGAACAGGGACATCAGAGAGAGAGGGAAAACCCCCATCAATACCGGCAAGACGGAAACGGCTTGACTTAGATAAGGGCTGTGCGCGTATTCGGTGTGAGCATTTCACCGGACGATATCAAAATGAGACGAAGTGGGAAAGACACGAAGAAACGAAACGAGCGGTCCGAACATTCAAGTGTGCGTTCCCGAGCACGTGGCAGAAAGACTCTTATACCTTAAGATACTCGGCTCAAAGTCTCTGAAAGAGAGGAAAGTAAGGAACACGTCGTTGTACGGAAAAGGCAAAAGCAGAAAACGGGCAGGTTCAAGGTGTGTGAGGTCATCTTGTCCGTTTGCTAGGTTATCGGCATCGTCGGGACAAGCTCTGCAGTCTGCATCCCCCCCCGGCCGTCGTCCGTCGGATTGAGGCTTTGTCCTTGGAGCAGGGCTGGCGCTGGAAAGGGTTTAGTTGACCCGGCTTGACACCACCACCTCCCGCATAAGCCCACCGCTTCCCGATCCCCGCCAAGAGGAGCTCTCTCAGCCCCTCAAGGTGGTGACACCCTGATTGGATCACAACCCAACCTTATCGCTTATCTCGTCGGAACATTAGTGATGCCGATTTCCGAGATCTTCAAGCTGAACCCCGGCACGCCGGCCAGGGTTTGGCGCTGGAGCTCGGGACGTCCCCAACCTGGGACGCCGATTGATGACATCGAGCAACCGAGCACTCCGCCAGCCAGAGGCGGTGTCTACCTCCCGAGCATAGACAATTCTGCGACAACCGAAGATCATGGAGCATCCACCGGCATCTTTTTCCGCAAGATCTCAACCTCACCCCAGCCCTCTTCACCAACAGCAACAACACATTCGAGATTAAGAAGGAGAACTTGCCACCTCGGTTTCGTCAGACTCTCGTCCTTTAGAATGTTCCTCATTCTGTCCCTCGTCTTCCTCGGCGGCTATGTCCACTACCTGTGGAAAGCAGAGGCCGCTCTCGGTGTGCCGTGGGTGCCCGACCCGGAGGCCCAGCTCTTCCAGCAGCGGCCCCTACTACCTCCGGCCCGGGAGACCAGCATCGACACGTACTCGCTGCCGCTGCACACAAAGGGCCGGGACATTGTCGACGAGGAGGGACGTCGCTTCAAGCTCCTGTCAGTCAATTGGTACGGCGCCAGCGACGAGCTCAACATCCCCGGCGGACTCGACGTCCAGCACCGCGACGTCATTGCGCAAACCATCCGCGGGCTGGGCTTCAACAGCGTCCGCCTGCCCTACAGCGACGAAATGGTCATCACCGACCCCCCGATCCCGGCCGAGCTGGTCGCGGCCAATCCTGACCTGATTGGTCTCAAGGCCCTCGACATCTTCGAGGCGTGCGTGACGGCGCTGACGGACGCGGGCATCGCCGTCATCGTCAACAACCACATCACGCACTCGACCTGGTGCTGTGGCGCCGACCCCTGCGACGCCCACTGGGCCAACGACCACCTCGGCCCGCTGTGCCGTATCAAGCAGACCGAGGAGGATTGGATCCAGAACTGGGAAAAGATCATGCTGCGCCTCGTGGACAACCCGGGCGTCATCGGCGTCGACCTGCGGAACGAGGTGCGCGGCGTGTGGGGCACAATGACCTGGGACAAGTGGGCCACGGCGGCCGAGAAGGCCGGCAACAGGCTATTGGAGATGAACAAGGACTGGCTCGTCATCGTCGGCGGCACCGAGTCTGGCAACGACCTCAGGGGCGCCGCGAAGCGGCCCGTCGTTCTCAACGTGCCCGACCGCGTCGTCTACTCGGCCCACGTGTACGCCTGGTCCGGCTGGGGCAGCCTCGAGGGCCGGTACTCGAAGCGGGCGTACGCGTCCTTTGTCAAGGCCATGAGGCTCAACTGGGCCTACCTCGTCGAGGGCGACGTCGCGCCCGTGTGGGTCGGCGAGTTTGGCGCGCCGCACCAGCCTAGCATCGGCGACGCGAATTACTGGAATAACCTGCTGCGCTACCTCAAGGTCATTGATGCCGATTTCGGGTACTGGGCCGTCAACCCCCGCAAGCCAAAGGATAACGTCAAGGAGACGTATGCGCTCGTCGAGGACGACTGGGTTACGCCTGTGCTGGATTACCGGATGAAGGATATGGTTGAGATTATGAGGGCGTAGTTCGCTCCGCAGTTTTGGCTGGGTGAAGAGGTATGCCTGCTAGAGTCGCGAATTAAGGGGCTCTTGGTGACGATGTGTATTTGATGACACAAGAGATGGGATATGCTCTCCTTTTTTTTTTTTTTTTCAAACCACTCCCTCCCCCATAATGGCGTTTTACGGAACGGTTCTTACTATAAGCACTTCTGGTTTTTGTTTTTTTGGGAGTGCCAGCTTCGGATACCCGGCTTTGGTCAGGCACGAGCTAGACGGTCACTGACGATTATGTCATAAAAATTGGCGGATAAGTCAAACGTTGGGATTAGGATGACAGTTCTGATACAAGCAATTGGATTCATGAATGGCCATGCAGTCAATGAATAAAGGACCCTTGAACGAATCTTTGCTCCCTGTTCTCATCCCATGTGAGCTATTCGCACTAGATGATTCGAAGCATTGTTGCTATGAACTGGTATGTCCGCGCTGATCATGCTCGCCCATGTGGAGGGACGGACGGGACAGCTTTCGCGGACATGATGAAGGGATCAGTGGAGTATCGGTCAGATGGCACGTCCGTGGCCTTGATGCTCAATGTGTCTTTTGCCTGGAGATGCAACCACTGTCCGTGACCAAAAGTGTGCATCGACAGAGTCTTTGAGCTTTGAGAGTAGTGGTGCATAGCTGCTCTCGTAGCTGGAATGTTTCCTCCCCGCAAAACGTGCCCGCTGAAACAATCGACCCCTCCTCTCCAGACAAGCAATCCAGCAAGGTGACCCCAGCATCATTCCATTGACGGAAGCTTCCTCCCCGATAGTTATCGATAAGAGCAAGGTGTAAGGTAGGGGCCATCAGGCCGTTATCGATAACCACAAAATAAAGTGGATCCGACACCCCTCAGTGGGTGCGCGTGAGTTGGAGGTGGGAGGACCTAGAGGGTGGTGTGGGTTGACGACAAACGGCCAGAAGGGAAGCAGCGGATGAGCTGCGGTGGGGGTATGAGGAGGCCATTCTCCAGACCTTTACCTTCCACCAACCCACCTCTTCGCGCAGCCCAACACACTTACTTATCGTACGCAAAGGCAGCTTGTTTTCTTTTCCGGCGGAAACAGGCGAGGCATCAGGTTCTTTATTCCGACAAATCGACAACAAGGGGCGCCGGCTCGTATGTCGCGCGCGAGGCGAAAGGGAGAGAAAGACTCCAAGGTGCGGTAGATGGCGGGCCAACAGGGTCAGTATTATGATCGCGGCTTCCGCGAGGCTGTGCTGGGGAAGTGTCAGGTTCAGACCTGTATCGATCGGGTACGTACGACTACGACGCATTTGGGCTTCTTTGGATGTCTGTTTTTGTCTGCAAGGCAGCGCGAGGCCTGTTACAGCTTGTCTAGTGTTGACTTGCATGCTGACTCTGCTTCCGTAGTTTGGCGACGGAGCTACCGAAGTGATCCGGCAACGCGAGCGCGACCACATCAACGGCGTCGAGAATGACACCCTTGTCCAGGGCGTCCCGTCTGACCAGATTGTAACTGGTGTCGAGGACGAGGATGCGGGCAGCTCACAGCCAACGTCCTTGGAGAGGAAGATACCGAAGACGCCGTACTTTAGGAACAACCTGACAGCTCTGTCGCAGAGATACAATGTAAGAATCTCTTCGTCAGATGCCGTGAGGAATGACCCTTTGGCTAACGACACCCTTTCCCCAGTTCTACTTCGCTGCGTACGAAAACCGAATCTTCGTCTACCGCCCCAAGGGCATCCCGAAACAGGCACTTCCTCGGGAGCCGAGCCTCATTCTGGCCACAAAGCCTGACAAGATCGCGCGACATATTGGGGGCACGCTGAATTTGCGCTTCTGCCATCAGATCAACCACATCGCCGTTGGGTTCCTCGGGAGGGAGGAAATCCTCGTTTCGGTCTACGATGATGGGTCGGTTTTCGCGTACTACATCCGGAAGATTGCAAAGTACGTTGAGCGCATAGCGTCTAGTTGTCGGGAACCTAACCCGGTGCCGGCGTACTTCTTTCGCGAGAACGTGGGTATTTCGGCATGGGGCATCGCGATCCACCAAAAGTCGCGACTCATCGCCATCAGCTCCAATAAGCGGGAAGTAACCGTATTTGCCTTTGGACTCTCCCGGTTGCCCGAGGACATGGATTGCCATGCGAGACATCTGGATTACTGCGAAAGATCAGTTCTCAAGAGGAAACGGAATTGGAGGATCTGCATACCCCTGGGTGAAGGGGGGCACAACATTCCTAATCTATCTCTCTGGGACGACCATCAGGGCTACGCTGAGAAAGTTGTTGCGAATGATATCTACGGGACTACCTGGATCTTGGACATATGGAAGGCCGGAACGGCGCCATTCAAGATGTCGCACAGAGCCAATGTCCAAGGGCAATGGGCATTCCGGAATCCGATGTAGGTCTTTGTCGCAGACTACCATATCACGTCTACTAATACAATCTCAGGGGCTGGGGCGTCATTGTCCTTCCGTACGAGAGTTTTCTGCCTGCACGATTTGTGACGGATCTACTAGGCATGGAAGAGTCAGACATCATGAACGCAAAGAACTCTCACGCTGGGCGATGGATCGAGACCCAACGGGGCCTATCTCGCATTCGCGATCATCCTGCGGAGCCCATTGCTCAACGCATGCCGGAACCGGAAGCGTTTGGCCACCACCACGGGGCAGCATGGTTTCAGCAGCAACAGCCAGCTTTCCTGGCTGCTATACTAAATAATCAACAGTTTCTTGGACTTCCGGCACCGCCGCCGCCGCCGCCGCCTCCCCCCCCTCCAGCGCTGGATGACGACGACAACAACAACAACGCAGCCGGTGGTGCTGTACCTCCCGCAAATGTCATTGTCCCTCCAGGCGCCCCAGCGGTACAGAATGCGGTTCTGTTTACCCCGGATCACGATGACGATGACGACGACGGGTGGAGCGAGGAGGAAGAAGAAGAAATCCCGGTCGCAGCATGGGACAGTACGTCTTCTTCTGCTATTGATAGTGAAGACGATGGTGTGGGTGGGCCTAACGGCGAGGATGCGAATGAGATTGTCTTCATCGAGGAGGCGCTCTCTGCAACAGAAGAAGAGGTTGGGTCCGGCGTGGGTATGACGCAGATCTCGCCGCCTGAAATGCTTTCTAGCTTCTTCAAGAACTCACCGAACCACGACTTGAGCGGATTCCAATCTTCCTGGCTAGACATGATCTATACGCCCCACGATGGTAAAACGTATGTTGCGCCGACGTCAGTCATCGGACGCCTTCAGTATCTGCGTCGACCGCTGGTGAAGAACCGGAACACAAAGGAGCAGGACAGAAGCGCCCTCGAAGAGCTGGGAAGCCGGTGCTGCATCTTGCGAACCTACGAAGAAGACATTGAGATGCGTAGCATCAACCCAGACGACGGTGCGGCGGTATTCTGCAAGGATCCCATCAGCTGGATGTACCCGCCTCACCCCTTACTTCAGCATTCCGAGCGGCTCAACATGATTCTTCATATCCCGGAGCTGTCGCTCGTGGTGATTGGATCCGCCATGGGCCGGGCGATTTTGCTGACCCCGACACGCTCGCGCTACCACATCCCTGGGAACGGGTATAAGCTGAAGCAAGGATTCCGAATCGATCGGGTTCTGCCGACGCTTTCGGACGAGAAGGCTGGACGTCGGCCGCCTCGGGGCCTCTATGGCATCGCTGCCGGTCCGATTCAGGAGGGTGGCGCGACGGGGTGTTTGCTGCGTGCTGATGATGCGCCTATGCCGTCGCCTGCGTCGAGGCGGTACAGGCTTATGCTGCATTATCGGGATCATAGTATTTTGAGTTACGAGATCAGTCGGGATGACAAGAATGAGCATGTTCTCATCTTTTGAGATGAGGGTTATCTCTTTACCTCCAAGGTAACGGGGAAAGGAGGCCGCGGGCATTGATTTCATCAAATACGCTGGAGGCCTTGGAAGTTATGCATTTTTCTCTGCGGCAACATGAGGATGGCGTTTTCTTGAGGCATTTCAAAGGCTTTTTCTTTTTCCTGATACCCGGCCTAGTGAACTCCCCGTTTCCGTAGTTTTGCTCGCAGGAAAGGCGGGGGGGGGGACTCTGAGCAGAAGATAGCTAGGCCTTTTGAAGAATACGACGAATCTCCACACTGAAATGTGTGTGCATTAGCCTGAGACTCATTAGAGAGACAGATCTTCTCTTCAAGGTGAATGGTAGTAGGGAGGGATGATGCGGTACTGACGCGATGACCGCGCCGCTTGCTTTTGAAGGATATGAGATTGCCGTGCCGGTTGCTTTGCATTTTTCTCCTTCCAAGCCTGATGTGATTGATACCTTTCTGATTTATGAATTGCTTATTACCCTATGTTTGTTGTATATATTCTTCCAGGGTCAGTGTCGTTGATGTTTGAGATGACGTCGTATGTATATGATCTTTTTCTGTCGAAGGGGTGAATGCTCTCATCTGCGTTGAGTTTGACTTTTCGTTTCGTTCATGATCTTGCAAATGAAACCTTGGTACTATTTGTGCTGCTTTCTGGGAGCTCAAAGGTCCTTGCCAATGATAAAGACATGATCCTTGCCTACGTGAAGCGAGCGGGAGGGGGGGGGGAATGGAATCGGACGCTGGGTAAGGTGGTGATGGGTTGGTCCTCGAGTCACTTCACCAACGGCACAGAGACCTGTATCGTTTGAGAAACCCCATGTGATGTGTTAGTGTTCATAAATCCGACTTGCTGTCTGTATGCACGTAGCACGCTCTCGTGTTCAGGCTTGACGGGGACATGCTATGCTTTCCCTTCTGGCGTGGAGACTCTAGTTAAAAATCACGAATAGTGCAGAATGTGTAATAGACTTTTACGCAGCGGTTAATGTGTGATAGTGAGGCTCGGTTTTAAAGGCCTGGATGATGATGAGCGCATCCAATGGAAAAACGATTCTTCTAGTAGTCGACGAAGTCACAGCCATCGAGACCAAGGCCACCTGTTACTTGCCGGAGGTATCCCAGGTCAATACATGTACAGTAGTCCGATTCTTAGAATCAATATATAACGGCATTTTTTCGGAACGATGAGTGGAAGTAACGCCAGGCTAGAGGGCAGACGATGCCGTCCGTTGGTCGTTTGACCTGCCCGTGGACCAATCTGTAACCACGATAACGTAGCGATCCACGGCGGGGAAACAATTGAATGAATACAACCCACAGGTCACGACTAGGAAGCAGAATCTTCAAGTAGCCTGAAATCACTTCTTGTAGTGTATTGATGTCGGTATACACCACGGATGCTGGATGCTTGACGCCAACTTTGGTCTACCGGCTATCACTTTGTAGTTGACAGCTTGATGTTTTGCATATAGCGCAAGGCACTTAACAGGGGAGTTTGGGTTTTCTTTGACTCGCCCTAAAATGCAGCCTTTCGCGAACTGTTTTCCTTTTGCTCTCGTTCAGCCAGCAAGGAGCATGGCCATCAAATATACGTATCGAGTCTGCTTTAAAGGCTCCCAGTTAGAGGGATCCCAGCTCATTGGAAGCATCCGGCATATTTCCTCGATGAAGATACGGAAGCTCGAACGAATTTTTAATATGAGAAACAAAGTGGTGATTTGCAAACCAAGATTACACAAAACTTTCAACCAGACCTTGTCCATCCTCCATGGAGACACATATAGCATATCTAGTAAAGTCTCCGTCTTTCAGAGCAGTCTCTCTGTCATCCTGATCGCTAGGTTTGAGAATGCTCCCTATCTTAATTGCAGAAAATGTGTCTTGAAATATTTCAGCTTGAAATCGAGTTTCTCTTACACACCGTTTCAAGACGTTGGCGAGTACCATGCATGTCCCAAGACAATTTATACCTTGGAAGATCTCTTACCTAAGCTCGGCAGGACAGTCAAAATGATGCCTTCTTCTCGTGATGCCGTCATCTTGCGACTCGGGAAGTATGTGATCATTGGGGCCAGTCATAGCCTAGATCACGACAACTACACATCACCTGTGTACAGCCATGGTCAATATTGGGAAGAAGTGAGTAATGACTTTGGGATAAATCTGTTGCCCTCCAACCCTAGAAAGGTCAGTAAAAGAATCAAGAGATGTGAAAAACTCCAGTTTGAAGCTAGTCTACCCAGTACACAATGCCCACACTCACATGTCCAGGTTCTGGCCATCAGCATCCTAGGCGAACGCAGGATCAGAATAGTAGCATCACGTAATCTCGCTGCACCGTCCGGGGTGCCCTCTCGAACGGCACCTTAGATCTCCAGACTTGACCAAGAATATCTAAACCATCCACGAAGAAACCGAGTCCCATGCGTTTAAACATCTTACAAGATAAAAAAAAGCAGGGTCGTCGGAACAGAGGAGAAAAGCTGTTCGGTGTTCTAGGTCTTCCACCAGCAAATTCCTGTGGCGCAGACTGCCGAAGAGATACAGGTAACGGGTGACTATGTCATACCGAGCTGACAGTTGCTCTAGATCTGAACATGCTGTCTACGGAATCTTCATCCTTGCCAAACTCGCTTGTGTGTTTGGCTAGAAGACATAGAAGGGAGATAGCGGATTAATACGCATCATGGCTATAAAAAGTTCGTTGAGTAAACCACCTGGCGTAAAGCAGGTTCGATTTGACACTCGTGCGCTGCGCATGACTAGACTGAAGCGGTCAAGATGCAGGACGTTGTCAACTTGATGACTAGACTGAGACCTGGAAAGAAGCCAACCCGGTTTCTTGCACCTGGATACATGTGCGGTATCGTTAATTGTGCAACATGAAGCTTTGCCTGACAATTGCAAAAGAAGCCTCTCAATAAAGCCTTGGTATCCTTTCATAACGGATCTCAGATCACTTTTCAGACTGTTTCAAGTTGGATCGATACCATCATACGAAGCCACACGGAAATGAGTCTCTTCATAAAAAGCCCATCTCAAGCAAGTCAGTAATCCGCAACATCGACTCAACATGCCTGAATCCAATAACCGTAGAGCACTTCTAGAAGAAGAACAATTAAGGGAACGACCGAGAAGTATGGAAACCCACGGCCTTCGGCCGGCCCAAGCGCCGGCGCAGAGTGGATCTAATTTGACTGCCGGAAAGGAGCGAACGCCCCCGAAGTGGATCCTTTCCCGCTAGCGGAGAGGGAAAATGACATTTTGCTCTGACAAAACGACCGGGGTCCCGATTGGCTCATCTGGGCGCTGATAAGGCTAAGGTTTAGCGTAGGTTGCTGGCGCCGGGAACAGGGAATCTCTCTCTTTGACGACCGGCGTCGCTGGAATCAGACAAGAGGCACACCACACCATAGTGACCACACACTGGACGTCATCTTTTTTTTTTATCGGTTGCCCCCCAAGTTCTGGGTCGTGATGCCCACATGGCGGGTGGTTTCAAGTACGCGGACGTCGTCCCGGACTGGGTAATAGTCGGGTTCTTCTCGAACACGATCACCGTACACTGAGAGGAGAGCCCCGTCTCAGGAGGTCGGAGCCCGCAGTCAGTAGTCGAGGACTCGGGGACCAAAGCTGGGGTGCAGCAGTATCGGAGGAGATATCGCGCGATAGGGCATGATGCTCCAGCGCGATGACATATGCTCATGCAGCGATTTGATGTAGATAATCGCGAAGCGTTCGACTGGTCGCGCGGGAGCTTATCAGGTTCGATGGTGAGGCGGACGTCACCAATCTGCCGAATCTCCAGCCTAGCTCACCTTTCGTTTAATGCACAACGTGTCTAGAGAATGACATTGTTTTGAGGCGCTTACCCGGGTGCAATGTGCGTATTTCTGATGGTCATGTCAGTAGCTTGATTTGGGGGGCACGCCTCTCTGCTGATCTCAAATACCCCCCGGGTTTTCCCACCTCTCATCAATACAAAAAGCGTGTGGCGTGGCGACCGAGCTGTTTAGTGGATCGTGGTCATCGTTTCGACAAGTCTTGGAATTCCCCCGGACTCTGAGTGCCTGCATCAATCGCGCCTTTCGCTTCCCTTGCGTCCATGATGCTACCCGTCTCAAACGTGAGGATCACAACGGCAATTCAAACTAAGAGTGTGTAGCGTGTGTGCCGAAAGACAGTGGCATCCCGTGCCTCAACTTCCAAGACTCGATAGTCGTCGTCCAAAGATTCAAGACTTAGTGGGCGCCAATAATGGTAGGGAGTGGTTGGATAGATTCAAAAGCAAACGTATCCGTGCCTGGCAAAGATGCAGCCAAACAGAAACCGTGGATTGGAGCTTCCGGAGCGCCCCCCAGCCTGGGATCGACCACGGTGGAGGAAGCCAAGTTCGAAGGGTCCTCTGGGTTCTTCGGGTCCCTCGAATGATGGAGTCTAGACGACTCCTCGCGAATTTGGCTCTCCTGTGTTAGCAAACGGTGGCCAGGCTGAAGACTAATGGATTCCAACCCCCCACAACGAGAGGCGCGTCTCCGGATGGGCGATGGGTCCAGCAAGCCGATTTCTTCCTTGACATGTGCCGAAAACGGAGCTGCAAGAACCAGAAACCTCAACGAGCAAGGGTGTAACGAGCTGGATCAAGTTCTCAAGAAAAGTAATTTGGTCAATCGTTAGAGTCGTCAGGCGGCCTGCTCCAGAAATCATCTTCGTATTGCAACGCAACTTGACAGAGAGCGTTCAAATCATGCCACAGCAATGTTGAAGCTAGTAGAAAAGTCGCGGTACCTTCGCTCGGTTGAAATGACGGTACGCGCCACACTGAAGGTTATCTCTGCCTTTGGCAGATTAGGCTGTCGGTTGGCGTCAACATGGATGAACAGTCTCGTCAGGAACGCATGGCCGAACTCGCCGGTCGTCCGCCTCGCAGCATTGGAGATCACGTCCTAGTGGTGGTGGGTGGCTTGGCCGCAGTTATCGGCCGCGAGGTCGGCAGCACGCATCGCTTGTGGTTTGGAGGCCAGCCGGGTGAGCCAAGTCGTAGGGTACCTATTAGTCGAGAGTACCGCGATAGGGGACTGTGCTCAAGGTGACCAAGGCAGTGACCGAATTCCTGGTACCAAACCCCGTCAGCATATGCCAGTGCTGAAAAGCAAAATTGAGCCTTACGATAAGGTCGAGACATCGTCCGTACGGATCAATAGCTGAAAATTTGGGGGTTTGGGGGTGGAGGACGCCACGGGAAATGTCGTGAAGAGGATTGCCCCATTGGGGCAATTCCACTGAAGAAGAAAGGGAGCGAGGGATTTGGGGGGATCCCAGGCCGACACCCCCGAGTCCCCCCCCCCCATCGTGAGGTCTTGTCCCGCCTGCATCGGTGGAGGGTGTTCGGGTGGGTCGAGTGATTGCCGGACTGCTGGGCCGTGAAGCTGCAGGGGGGGATGACAAGCGTGGATTCTGGAAAAGAAAATGAGTGAGGGAGCATCTGCAAACTTGTGATGGAATTAGCTGACTAAACAGCCACAGTGAGCTCTGAGTGGACCAAAGGCATTTCTTTGATTCAGCCCAATTACTGTCCACCACTGACAGGTCCCGCTTGGGCTACGCCTATCGCATGTCTTATCTGTGGCTCTTTCATCCATCTGTAAGGTACCTAGGTATCTGGTCGTCTTTCGGGGGCATGTTCTTCTTCATCCACCATTGATTCAATGATGACAGCCAAGGGCCGAGGATGGTCCCAAGGTTGGAGGAGGCACGGAGGGAACCAAGTGTGACTCTTGAAGCCGTCTCGATAGTTTCGATGGCTTGCCTTGGCAAGCTGTATTCTGGTTGTTGTATGCTCGGCGGGAGTGGCAGTGTTGCAGCCGGTGAGGAATTTGCGCTGCCCGAGTAGATATCGGCCGAGTGGAGGGTTGACCATCCAAGTCTCGAACGGGATTGGTAGTCTGCGTAGAGAAAAAAGATCAGGCCAGTGATGATACGGTAAATCAGCAATCAGAAATTGGTTGATGCGAATAGGACGAGAGCAGAATCATGGACAAGCTCGTGCCCCAAAGTCTCACACAAACACGTGTACTGGCACACACGAACCTCCACAGAGACGGCGTGAACGAGCCAAAGCAAGAGCTTAATCACCCCCAGACTCTGTTGCCATTGAACCCACTGCCCTGGGCTGTCGCTGTCGTCTGAGAAAAGTCGAGGCCTGCTTGCACCTGCATCATCACTATCGTCGTCTCTAGACGGGAGTGCCTGCTTCAGCTCATTCGATTGTGTCTTTGTGTATGGTACCGGTACCCAAGGTAGACTAGAGACAGTACGCACTTTTACAGGACTAATGCGAATGACAATGACAGTGACATGGTGGCCGGCCGAGGAAGGCGTGGGGCGCGATAGGTGCAAGGACATTCCGCAGTACGTACCGGTGCAAGTCAGACAGACGTGTGTGGCAGGGGAGGGGCGTCTCTCTTGGCCAGGATTTCCCCCGAACGGCCGGGTCTGGCTTGCACTTGCGGCTTGCCATGCCATCCATGCCTTTGCCTTGCCTTTCAAGCCTTGGGCCCACGGGCATTGAGTTCGGGATAGAACGCTCGCTCAGGTTCAGTCTTTTCCCGCCTTCCCGCCTTCCTGCCTCTACACCATGTAGTCAAGCTGCGAAGTACTCCGTAAGTCTGGCAGGCCGCAGAACGGAAGGCGCCCACTTTATTCTCTTTCCACTTCACCCGCCGCACCATGCTTGTCCACTCACATGTTCATCATTTGCCCAACATGGCCCGTGTCGTGTCTCTTATCTGCCCGCACCAAAACTCACTTACACTTTCCTGTCTGTCAAGTCCCTCGTTGATTAACCCGTTGCCCAATGTCAAATGTCCAATGCTCTCTCCCCATCTGCTCCCACAACGCCTCCTCCGTATGCGGATTGCCCACACTAAGCTCCGCTGGCCCAGGCAATTACACCCCCAGACACTGCCAGGGATCACCGCAGTATCCCATGCTCCCTCTGCCGCAACCACGTCCTTCTTGAAGCCACCCCATCTCTCCTGTCCTGTCTTGCCTTTTTATATATGATCCTTTCTGTCCCTCCCATCCCCATTCTGTCCCGTCGCTCGTTCCTCTTCACCCAGGCAATTCGTCCCATCCTGAACCCGACCTACCCTGGCCGTCGACAATCCGTCCCAGCTCTGTCCATATTTATTCGAGACAGCTTGCTCTTGAGAAAGAAAAAAAAAATAATACTCTCTCGTCCCCTCTCTTGTCTCATCTACGCCATCCAATCCTCTGGTGAACACCTCGCCCCAACCTCGATATCGCACACAATCGCCCATCATGTCATACACACATACTGGAGCTCCTACGGAGTTCAATGGCACCAACGCCGATTTCGGTGGTGATTCCAGTACGTCGAGCCAGCGTTCCGCAATAATCGGGGCTCGCCTCGACCGACTTTGATGCTAATCCTTGAATAGCCACGACGAACTTGAACCAATGGTACCAATCTGGCGACCAGTCTTACATCCTCGTCTCCGCCGCCATGGTCCTGCTCATGATTCCCGGCATCGCCTTCCTCTACTCTGGTCTCGCCCGGAGAAAGTCGGCTCTATCCCAATTGTGGGTGGTCATGATGAGCTTTTCCGTCATCGTCTTCCAGTGGTACTTCTGGGGCTATTCTCTTGCCTTCAGCGAAACTGCCACCAACGGCTTCATTGGTGATCTTCGTCACTTCGGCCTCATGAAGGTCCTCGCTACTCCGTCCCAGGGCTCGCCTCTCGTCCCTGCCCTTCTCTACTCTTTCTACCAGATGATGTTCTGCGCCGTCACTGCCGCCCTCACTGCTGGTGCCACCGCCGAGCGCGGCCGAGTCATTCCCTGCATGGTCTTCATCTTCTTCTGGGCCACCCTCGTCTACGCTCCCGTCGCCTGCTGGGCATGGAACGCCAACGGCTGGGCCTTCAAGTACGGTGTTCTCGACTATGCCGGAGGCGGTCCCGTCGAAATCGGTTCTGGCATGTCAGCTCTCGCCTACTCCTGGGTTCTTGGCCGTCGCAACGAGAGAATGATGCTCAACTTCCGTCCCCACAACATCTCCCTCATCACCCTCGGCACTATCCTTCTCTGGTTCGGCTGGTTGGGCTTCAACGGTGGTTCCGCTTTCGGTGCCAACCTCCGCGCCGCCATGGCTTGCTGGAACTCCTGCTTGACTGCCATGTTCGCCGCCATGACTTGGTGCCTTCTCGATTTCCGCCTGGCCAAGAAGTGGTCTCTCGTCGGCTGGTGCTCTGGCACCATTTCTGGTCTCGTTGCCGCTACCCCTGCCTCCGGTGTCATCACTCCCTGGGCCTCAATCATCCTCGGTGTTGTTGCTGGCGTTGCTTGCAACTTTGGCACCAAGAGTAAGCTACTCCTGCTCGTGCCCATTTATCACTGCTAACATGTTTGTTCTTAGTCAAATTCCTCCTCAAGATCGACGACTCTCTTGATGTCTTCGCCGAGCACGGTATCGGCGGTATTGTCGGTCTCATCTTCAACGCCTTCTTCGCGTCTAGCTCCATCATCGGCCTCGACGGTGTCAACATGGGAGTCTCTGGCGGCTGGGTTGACGGCAACTACAAGCTCATGTACATCCAAATCGCCTACATTGTCGCCTGCTGCGCATATACTTTCGTCATGTCCGCCATCCTCGCCAAGGCTATCGACATGATTCCCGGACTGAAGCTCCGTGCTTCCGAGGAGGCTGAGCTTCTGGGTATGGACGATGACCAGCACGGTGAATTCTCCTACGACTACGTCGAGGTTCGCCGCGATTTCCTTGCATGGACCCCCCACCAGGCCGAACCCGCCGGAGAGGGAAAGTTCATTCCTCAGCACGGAATTGAGGAGCACCAGCACATGGCCAACAATGGAGCAAGCAGCGGATCAGATGAGCCCAAGCCTGTGACGCCTCAAGGCGAGATCAGGAGCGAGAAGGCTCCTTCTCTGTAAGGGGCCCGTGCCACAAGGAAGAGTTGGTTACCTTGATTTGAATTTTTGGCTGCCGTCTGGGCTCCAAAAGCGAGGCGTTATTTACAGGATGGGATTGATCTAAAGTTGTTTTCCCTGTTGGAAGGATATCCCGCGAGATGCGAAGCGAGCAGATATTTTTTTTGTTGTATAATACCCCATGGTATATCCGTAATGAGACGCCAAATAAAAGCGACTCCTGATCTATTCTAAACGCTCAAGCGCAACTCCTTCGGGTGAAGAACTTTGACAGTGTGATGGGATGAAAGCATCGATAGAGATTGTGCAAAGTGAATAGGGAGGGGGGGGGAATACAACGAGGATGCATGCGGTGTTACCGAATGTCTCATCCTCCAGTACGACCGGAAATGACGACCAAGAAAATAAAAAACAGCGCACCATTGCTGTGAGTGTACATGCTTGGCAAAGCTGGATAGTTGCGGTCAAGTGTCACAAGTTTGTGGAATGTCAGGAAGGTTGCGCGGATGGGGTGAGGGTGAGGGGAAAGGATCGAAACACGGCCATCAGCCTTGGCGCAAGCTCTATTTCTGCTTCAGGCATGTTTGATTCGTTGGCAAATCCGACTACTGTAGTAGACATCGGTCGTCCTGCTCACACCCAGGTCTCACTACTCACAGTCTCACTCTTGTCGAGTCGGCAGTGAGGCGGTGCGTGTGCGGTGCCTCTCCCCTCCCGTCTCGTCTCGATGATTGAGTTTTGAGTTTGACTTTTTACACGCGACTGGAAGAACTGAGTTTTTTAGGCGGATATTTGGGCTACAGTTCCCCGGAGTACCTAGCTACGTTATTTCGTGCTTGGTTTTGGTTTTGGTTTCTTGGTGCTCGTCTATTCGTTCCGTTTTGGCTACCATGTCCGGTCGACCACGGTATGGTTAAGATTGGTCCGGCCAGTTTGGCTCGGAGACCGCGGATCCAATTGGTCCTCTTTCTCTCTGCCCAAATTGGAACGTTCATCTCGCGCATCTTACGTCCCCTCCGTCGGCCGTCCCAAACGGCATACATACGTATTCGTACACGACCTAGGTACTTGGGATGATACTCCAAGTAGGATGATGTTCTGCATACAATACGCGACGGGACACTGAACAGGATGTCTGTGCCCTCTGGTTCTGGACACCTTTCAGCTTCGGAGTATGAATCTCGTTTCTGCTTTTCAAAGTTGACAGACCAAGCGCCGCGGCACAGTACCGGTGAGCCGACGTCGGCGCCAGCTCTAATACTCTGAAAAGGGTGCGACTATCTCCGAGCGGATGTAGACAACACCGTTGCCGTTGGTAATCGAGGCAATTAATCGTGAAGACATGTCGAGGAAGGGGGAAACAGTACGTACTGTAGCCTAGCGTAAGCGATCGGGAATTGGCGCTTCACGCTGTGTCTTCTTTTCGAGGGGGGTGGGATCGTTGGATGGGGCGTCATCGTCAACTTGTCAAGGATCCCTCCATCGACATCGAGGCCCCTGTCGACGCACCCTTTTTTTTTTTTCGCCCACGCTACCGACGTCGGGGGGCTTGTCGCCTTAGTGAACCCCACCCACGACGGAAGGTCGAAGAGATAAGGAATTGGACTCTGAGTGGGCGAACTGACGGCGCGACCCCCAAAGTTGGTCTGCCCATCTGAGAAATATGTCCACTTTTCGGGTGCGTTCACGCCGTCGGGGCGAGCTAGTGTGATATACCTTAGTCGAGCATGCATCATGGGGGTTTGCCGGCTTGCATTGGGCGTCGGTTGATGAAAGGGCGCGCGGGTGAAGGGAAAATTCGGGATTGGGAAGACGGGGGGGATCGATATGGATACGAAGGCTGATGGATGCCGACAGCTCCTTTGGTTCCCTTATCTTTGCCTGGGAATAGGAGAAGTGGGAGTGAAGAGAGGTGGCGGTCATGCGAGCTGAAAGATTGGAAGAGAGGGAGATGTGGGAGAAATGTCGAGCAAAAGCGGAAGAGATGGGAGAGAGAGTGAGAGACGGAGAGGGAACGGGAGGCCGGAGAGGAGAAGCTGGGCGAGGGAGGAGGGCGCCAAGTGGGAAATTGTTAGGCAAGAAAGTGCGTGCCATGGGGTTCAACTTTCAATGTCTTGGCAGGACCCAACGGGCCATACTCCTCCGTACGCACATGCTACTACCAGAAACGTAAACAATGTATGGGGCAGGCCGCAAGAGCAAGAGAGGTAGTCGCGATGTCGAAATATGAAGTCATCTCCACGATGCGGCTCTTCAAACTTGCTTCAAGCTTTTGCTGCACCCCGAGATCCAGCGGGCGCTCGACGGGACTTTTTTCTCCCTTTCCCCAGATCTCGGGAAGCGGTTCGTCCCCCTAAGGTAGGGACTTAGGTACATGTCTAAATAAAAATCTCCTAGATAAAGAAAAGAGTTGATCCTTCCCGTTGCACGATGCGATGCGGCAAAGGAAACACCCCAAGTCGTAACGCATCAAGGGCCCGGGGGTTTGGATCTTGCGCCCGCAAGAGGTGGGTTTTCGTGGTGGTTTGGCGGGCGTTGCGGGCGCAACGACATGTTGGCGTGCATTTTGGGTGTGTGGTCACTGTAGTGTGGTGTGGCGAGTGCAACGGTCTGATTTGCGATAAGATAGCAGATAAACCTAAGGCTGCTTGCTTTACTTATCTGGAAGGTAGGCAAGCAGGCCATTACTCTCCTCAATTCACTGGGCATTGACGTGGATTTAAACATCTACATCTCTTCTTCCCAGAGCCGTTGGAGACACGCCACCTTGGAGAGACAACATGTCGTCAAAGCAAGCCCCAAAGAGCCTCAATTCGACTTTTGTGGAACGGGGGTTCGTTTCGGTTCGTCCTTTTGGGCTTCCCGCACCCGCGGGAACGGGAAACGAGATGAAGAGACAGTGACATGCTGGACATGCTGGCGCTGCTGAGCATGCGGCTCTGTGAGAAAAGGGAAAACGGTTACGCGATATTTACATGATGAAAACTCGCCAGTGGTGAGGGGAGAAGAGGGGGCCAGCCGCTACCGTACCCCGAACGAACGTGCCAAAGTCTTGGCCTTTTGTTTTTTTGGAGGCAGATCTTGTAGGGCGACGAATCGGCGAGGCTCCTTCTTCATTGCGACATGACTGGACGAGATGTCGAATTCCATTTCGTGGTCTAGAATCGATTCGCCTGTCCCGGTTTGTCAAATTCCGTCAGGCTTGATGGCAATTGACGCGGTGCACTCAGTATCTGGGGTATCCCGCCCCGGCTGTACCCTCACGACTACCCGCGGCATTCGCATCGTGACCTCGGTTCGAGACACCCTTGCCTCTTGGAGAGAGCCAGTTCGGAATTGAGCGACTGGGACCAAGGTCCCCTCGCGACAGGGCAAGTTCCGCTGCTGCACGCTACACTCCTCTTCTTGAAATCATGAGATACTTCAACCGAATCTGATATGACGGAGGAGGTACGTCCTTGCCCGCGAGTGCGTGCAGGTGGCTGACGATGAGATTGGCCTGACACCGGATCATCGACTGGGCCGCTTTCCTTACAAATGTTTCTACACCGCGGATGCAATCGACGAGCATGTCCTCACGAGCGCACTAGACGAACGAGGCGGCAGCAGAGGAACGAACACAACGAAGCGCCGACAAGCACTACACATGTTACGGTCATCAACTGTGGTGGTATCATGTATGTTCATTCATCGACACAAAATCAACAAAGACACTTCGATGCCCAACTTCTCATCCTCTGAGACGCATCTCCGATCATCTCGAACTCGGACTCGATCAGAATCCCATCGTGGACCTCGGTCGCCGCCACCTCAAGCTGGACGTCCAACCCGGGATTCCGTCTCCTGACCGCCTCCGCAAAAACCCGGGAATCGTTGCAAAACACCTCCTGCGCACCAGCGGTCACGTAGACCGACTTCGCAATTGTGTGGATCTCCCCGAGCCACTCCATATCGCCATCCAGCGCCAGCGGCTCGTGCGGATTCGTGGCTTGCTTCTGCGCGTGGTCGTCGGCAAAGAGATAATCGCCACCTTTAGCGACGATGGCCGCCGAGAGCATATCGACGCGGTGATTATCCCGGAAGGTCACGGCATCGGTGCGAAGGGAGAGGAAAGGGGAGACCAAGAACGTGCCGGCAAGGGTGCTAGTCAACCGAACGGGCTCGACTTCAGGGTGGGGACGGAGGAGATGGCAGAGGACCTGAGCTGTGAGGTTTCCGCCGGCCGAGTCGCCGCCGATGATGAGGCTCTCTGCCGCGACGCCGGACCGTAGGAGGTGGTTGAGGGCCGCTGCGGCCTGCTGCAGCTGCGTCGGGTATGTGGCGCCCGGGCAGAGAGTATACTGCAGGACTGCAACGGCGACCTCCACTCCATCGGCACCGCCGGGGCCACCATTAACGTAGCTCTCCCAGCACCAGGTGAGGTGGCCCGAAGCCAGCGGGGCGACGTACCCGCCGCCGTGGAAGAAGAGGACGAACTTGGAGGCCTTTTTGCGATTGCCTAGCCACATGATGCTCCCGCTGCCGCCGTGGAGTGCGACATTGTTGTTACCGGCCTCGGTGCCGAGGGGTTCGATGTCTTGGTGCAGACGGCTGAGGGCGGTTACGTTACCGTTCTTGGACTCTTTGGCCTTTTGCTTTGCGACCCAGGTCGAGTAGACCTCGAGGGTGGGAGTGGCGAGGAATTGGATCTCGCGCGGCTCGAAGCAGCCCAGAACGATGCGGTAAGTTGCGGCCAGGAGCCAGAATCTCAGCGGGATGCCTCGGTGGATGGCGCGCGGTAGCCCGAGAGCTACGATTGAGAAGAAGGTAGGGGAAGCTGTTTGTTTCGGTGAGCTCTACGTCATGTAGGTTATCGAGTTTTGTACCTACCCCAGAGCACATGCAAGACGAGACCCAACTTCTCAAGGGTTCGGAGACCAGGTTGTCCTTGGGCCATGGTTACTGATCTGATCCGAGTGTTCGGGGCCGAATTTCCTGATGACGTGGGTAGCGGAGTTTGCTACTAAGTGATTCGAAAGAGGTAAGGTACTCTGGGGAACCGTTAAATAAAGCAGTTTGTAGCTTCGAAGCGTTAATGCAAGTGCGGGCCGAGGTATTCAACACTAGAGAGTGTGAGCCAAGGTATAGACGGGATGTTGCACTGACGGACTCCGCGGCGGGCCGACATGGAGTACAGAATTCCGTCCCAAAATATGGGGAAATCAAGATTCATTTCCCCGCCTCCGGCTGTTCTTTCTCTTGGCACTTTTTGTGGGGGATGGGCCGTTGGAGTCAAACGGAACAGCTCCAGGAGGCTTGGGCCGGGGTTGCGTTCGGAACGAACCCGACGTGGGGTCCGGGATGGATCCATCGGCGCATCGGGGACGGTCTGGGGAAGAGGATGGATCACGGGGTATACCGTAGAGAGGTTTGTCCTATAGATCTGGATCTACATCCCGCTGTATTTGGGGTCCAGATGGCTCAAAACTGATGACCAGACCTATTGCACAAATTCTCATTTGCTCAATTCACTTTCACCACCAGAGACCATGCCTTTAACAATCGACACCGTCGCCGTGTTCCTCCGCGGGACCATCCTGAATCCGGCCCTCGTCGCCGCGGTAGCAGGAATAGCAACGCTCTCTCTAGACCAAGCCGCCCTCACTTCGTACAACGTACCCTTCACCCTCTCCCAACTCCAACTCGCCTCCTGCGCCCTCGCGGCCGGTGGCCTGGCCCTCCGGCTCCACGAGTACCTCACCCGCTGGACCGCCAACAACTGGACGACGGACACAACATGGGACTGGTCCAAAGAAATCGTCGTCGTCACGGGTGCCAGCGGCGAAATCGGCATCGGCGCGGGCATAGTACGCGATCTCCTCGCGCGGAACCCGCACACGACGATTGTCGTGGTGGACTATGTTCCCCTGGCATGGCAGCCTAGCCCAGGGACGGGAAAGAATCTGCATTATTACCAGTGCGACTTGAGCGACAAGGACAACATCCGCACCCTTTGCCAACGCATCCGCGCCGAGGTAGGGAACCCGACGGTGCTGGTGAATAACGCTGGGCTGGGCCGCGGGCGCACCGTCATGGAGGGAGCGTATGCCGACGTGGAGCTGACGATTAATACCAACTTACTGGCGCCGTTTTTGCTGATCAAGGAGTTTCTTCCGCATATGGTGAGGGAGAATCACGGACACATTGTAAATGTGAGCTCGATGAGTTCGGTGATGCCGCCTGCGCAGATTGCGGATTACGCGGCGACAAAGGCTGGATTGGCGGCTCTTCATGAGGTATGTTATCTGTGTAAACTGCAAACCCTTACATCTAGACGTTGTATATCTGATGACTCTGGGTGCTGCGAAAAACAGAGTCTTCAGCTGGAACTGAAATACATCCACAACGCGCCCAAAGTCCGGCTGACGCTGGGCCTTCTGAGCTTCATCAAGACGGCCATGTTCAAGGGCGAGACGGGACAGTCGGCGTTTGTGTTTCCGTTGCTTGAGCCGGATGCTGTTGCGAGGGCGTTTACGGATGCCTTGTATAGCGGGCTCGGGAGGGTGATTTACCTGCCGGGTATGATGCGTTACATTGCCATGTTGGTGAGTCTTTCTCCGTTGCAACCCTCTCTCCAAAGAAAACTTTTTGGTTGCTAATGTGCGCGGGATGTGCGAATAGAGGAGTTCTCCCGAGTGGTTTTGGAGGATTGCGAGGGAGAGTACTGCGGGTCTTAAGGTGGACTTCAAGGGGTATCAAAAGGTTGATAGCAAGACTGGAAAGTTGGAGATTCTGGATGGTAAGAAGTAGGTGGATGTCGACGTAGTGACGAATTTGGGTTTTAAAGGAAAGAGGAATATGAAGCCTCATTTGGGAAGATGATGGTTCCAGATTTCTTTTCTCTCCTACAAGAACCTTCAGGAAATGTAGGGATAGTTGACTTAATGTTATATCACATGGAGTTAGAACTTTTATAGTTGCTCATGCACCGCATGGAAGTCACAATTACAATCGTCGTTCAGCGTCAGGCATTGATAAGCCCTTACGTTGAGAACCATAAATTCGTCCAGACTCGTCCGAACCCCCAAAAGTTGTGATTGATTTAAGTAATAGGACTTTGGATTTGACCTGATTTGGTATGACATTCTTCTTCTGGCGTGATTAACTCTGCATACCGCAAGGTCCCTACCTACCTTACCCCTGTCACAGGGTTGGCGTGGAAATACAATCCAAGTCGTTCCTGTGACGAACCGTGTTCACGCCGAGGGATGCACATCACAAACTCATCAATCTCATCGATGCAGACAGTTCGCTGCCAAGACGGGATCAAAAGCTTCGGAAGTGCGAGAACGAAGACGACGACGACGACGACGACGACGACGACGACGAGGGGTTCGCGGCTTCGAATGACCGTCACATTCCTAGGCACTCATCGGAATCGTCCCGACCAATAGGAACGCGCCCGCGGTCTCCCAAATGTCCATTTACGGAAACCATCCGGGAACCGATCATAGCGCAGTGACAGAATGATGTACGGACGGCTGGTGGAAAGATGAAGGGTAAGATGTGTCTGGAATAAAACAATGGGATGGTCTCGCTGATAGCTGGCTTGCATGCTCTCTCAACAATCGCACTGGTGACTAAATTCCTCGCACTCGCCAGCGTCTTGTAGCAACCTCGTTCTATCAACCTTGACTATTTCACAACATGGCGAAGACTATCAACGTCAGCGAGACTGAAAATGTCTCTTACAGCCAATTTGCCTGTATTGGTTCTGGGTTTGCAGCCATTGGCCTAGGGGCAACGCTGAAACGATGGTATGGAATCGAAGACGTAAAGTTCTTTGAACGGCATAGCCAGCTAGGTGGAACTTGGTTCATTAATCGATACCCGGGTACGTTTCGGACATCTCAATCCCTCATTAAGGTGTCTAGAACATGAGCGAACGGCAATCTCTAACCTCGCTGCTTAGGATGCGCTTGCGACGTCCCCAGCGCGCTGTACAGCTTCTCCTTCGAGCCCAACCCCCACTGGACGCGAGTCCTACCGACCTACTCTGAGATATGGGAGTACCTCAACAACATAGCCCACAAGTACAACCTCATCCGCAACATGTCGTTCGACGTGCTGGTCGAGCGCTGCGAGTGGATCGAGGAACGCGCCCGCTGGCGCCTCTCGATCCGCCACCTCAAGTCGGGCGCCACCTTTTTCCACGAGTGCCAGTTCCTCTTCGCCGGCACGGGCGCGCTGGTCACACCCAACGACATTGACGTGCCCGGCGCGGACACCTTCAAGGGCGTAATCGAGCATACCGGCCGGTGGCGTCCGGATATCGAGCTCGAGGGGAAGAAGGTCGTCCTTTTTGGCAACGGGTGCACCGCCGCGCAGGTCGTTCCGAATATCGTCCACAAGACAAAGTCGCTGACGCAGATTGTGCGATCGAAGCACTGGATCTTCCCGCCTATTGATAGGAAGGTGCCCGACGTGATTCGGTCCGGGCTCAGGACCGTACCCGGCCTGACGCGTCTTCTGCGCTTCATCGTCTTCGCTGCGGCGGAGAGCTCGTTCCAGGGGTTCCCGTTGACGGAGGCGGCGGGGAAGTACAGGGCCGGGCAGAAGAAGATTGCGGAGGAGTATATGCGGTCTACGGCGCCGGCCAAGTACCACGACTTGCTGGTTCCGGAGTTCGAGATTGGGTGCAAGCGGCGCATCTTCGATTCCGGGTACCTGAAGAGCCTGCACGCCGAGAATTTGACGTTGACGAACGAGAAGGCGCTGGAGATTGTGCCCGAGGGCGTCAGGACGGCAAAGGGGCTCATTGAGGCCGATGTGATTATCCTGGCCAACGGATACCACACGAATGAGTTTGTTGCTGGAGTCAATGTCATTGGGCGAGACGGCGAGACGATCCCGAGCCATTGGAAGTCGTTTGGCGGGCCTGAGGGATACAACTGTTCGATGATGAACAACTTTCCCAATTTTGTCATGATTATGGGTATGTTCACAAGTCTCCGGAGATGAGTGCCTATGAGGAAGTGGAAATCCTGGTGCTAACGAGTATACTCAACAACCAACAGGCCCCAACGCTGCGACGGGACACACCTCGTCCATCATGGCCCTAGAAAACTCCATCAACTACGCCCTGCGCGTCTTCAAGCCCGCGCTGGAAGGTAGAGCGAGCATCGCGGAGATCAAGCGCGAAGCCGAGGAGACCTACACCGATACCATCCAGGACGCCCTGCAGCACAGGGTGTGGAACTCGGGATGCAGCAGCTGGTACTTTCAAAAATCGGCGGACGGCACCAAGACGTGGAACGCCATGAGTTACCCCTATACGCAGGGCTACTTTTGGTATCGCTGCCTGTTCCCAGTGTGGTCGGACTGGGAGTATAGCGTGAGTAGACCAAGGAGCATGGCAATAACTGCCTGGATGAATAGCGAAGCTGACTTGATTTTTACGTTACAGGGACAAACTAGTTCGGTCTCGTCGATCAAGAAGAGGCAGCCGCGGGGTTTGCTTTTCTTCCTGACTACGTTGCTTGGTCTCGCGGCCTGGGGTACTTTTGACAAGACGGGATTCACTGCAGCTGTGGCTCACGCTCAGATTTCGTTCAATGCCCTTGTTTCCTCCATTCCCAAGTAGATCATCGTCATCATCATAATGTATTTCCTCAAACTGCCAGCGGCTAAATCGTTGCAAGGGTGTTCAGTGTCTCGCTCTGAGTTCATCTGAGAGCTGTATACAAAATAGTCTAGCCAAGTTGTCCCACAACCTTTGATACTCACATGAGAATAAACATCGACATAAACTCACCAAGATCTCACCTTCACCAATCTGGGGCATGCCAGGTACTTCGTAAATACTAGTATTCAACGGGTCCGGTAGTTGCACCCTTGTCGAGGCAAACGGCGAAAACACGCACCAATCATTGTGCTGGTGATAGTCATAGCGTAATTGCTAACTCCCCGGTGGGCTTTCAACTCATCCCGGTGGCCCGCTTCCGCCGGGGAACTTCACGGTCCGATCTGCACGTCAAGGATATAGCCGTTCAACCCCGCAAAACTCATTTGGACCTTGCCCATTCAAGGAGTCCAGAGTACCTTATGACGAACACCTCCATCCGGCATCTCCGCATTATTGTTAGTATTGGTACATTCACAGTACTTCCGTTGATCTGTCCTAAAGTTCTCGACAATCTCGAGCTATCTCACTATGAGAATATAACGGCATTAACAATTTGACAACGGAGAAGGGTCTATTTCTTACCGAAACTTCAACATCAACAAACCTGGCTTGGGTCTCATCGCGGCAGTAAACGGCACCTTGCGATGCCTCCTGGCCGACAGGAACGGCAGCGTCGTCGCAAAATCACACTTGCATGTGAACCATGCCGAGAGCGCAAGGCGCGTTGCGATGGTGGCAAGCCCATCTGTTCAACCTGTCAGCGCCGATCTCTAGACCTCGAGCACTGCGTCTACACGGTGAACAATGCCAGAACGGCATGTAGCGACGAGTGAGTTTCTCGCAATGGTGATGGTTTGATATTTCCTTCTTTTCTTTCCACTAACCTACGAAAAAACAGCTACACAAAGACGCTTCATGAGCGCATTCGCAAACTGGAACAGGCTTGCGAGTCGCGCGGCATCAATATCAACAACCTCGAAGCTATCGGGCAAGACACCCAAGGGCCCGTGGACAATCATTCATCCACCGCAGCATCTCGGGACTTCAACGTACTAGACGCCGCCTCCGCCATGGAAGCATCCGACGACCAAGCAGCAGCGGCGGCGGCGGCGGCCACCCAGCTCCCGTCGCCATAATCGTCCGTTGGCGTCGACAGCTCGAGCGAAGCGAGGAGGGTGACGGCCATGGGCACCATCCTCGCTGAGGACGACCTCGAGGACTCACCTAACAACTCTGCGGAGCCTGACTTCTACGGCAGCTCCTCGGCCGTTGCGTTCTTGAAGGAAGCCTACAGCGCGATGAACTCGAATTGGGACCCTGCACGAGTTCAACCGTCGGGCGGCACACCGTTTCGGGGGAGTCAGCAGGCGCTGCCGTCCGTCTCGACACCGTCTTCTCTATACGCTGACTTTGACAAATTCCTTTTGCCCCCTCGCCCGTTCGCCGACCACCTTCTTCAGCTGTACTTTCAGAGAGTACACTACCTCTACCCCGTATTCCACAAACCAGCCTTCGAAAGAGCCTACGAATCCCTCTGGCAACCGACGACAACCACAGCAGCAGCAGCAACAGCAGCAGCAGCCACGGATGCAGCAAACGACGACTTCCGCGGCGTAGGCCTAGGCTGCTCCCCCGGCGCAGACGCCACCACGATCGTCTTCCATAGCGCCCTCAACTCCATCTTTGCTCTGGCCTGCAACTTTGCCGAACTCACTTGTGCCGAAAAGGCAAAGAGCATCGAGATTTTCCTGCTGCGGAGCCGCAAGTGCCTCAGCGTCGACTTGCTCGAGAAGAACAACCTCGGCGTCGTGCAGACGCTGTTGTTGTCCGGGTTGGTCTTTCAGGGAACGCCGTTTCCTGATCGGTGCTGGAACGCTGTTGGGATTGCGTGTCGGATTGCGCAGGGGCTTGGGCTTCATATGGATGTTGTGGCGGCACGGGAGATGGGGTCCGGCGGGGAGGAGGAGGGGTTTACTTTGGAGATGGATGTCAGGCAGCGGACGTGGCAGGGTTGTGTTATTCTTGATACGTGAGTGTTTTCTTTGCCCTGTTTCTCTCTGATGTTCATGACCGGGCCAAGGGAATCTGGGTTGATGCCCGAAGACTGACAAGATCTGAACATTCTCAGGCTCGTGAGCATGACGTTTGGTCGACCAACCGTTACATCAAATCTTTCAGCAAACGAACTACTTTCTCGGTCTCATTCCGCCGCAGATCAGCGCCTCGAGCAACCAAAATTGGAGTTTATCACCCAGAGCTTCAAGCTGAGTTTGATACTCGAGAACATCCTCTCGCAAGTCTACCAGCCGTGGCGGAACCGGCATCCCACTCAGAGAGCAAGTTGCGGCACACGGGGAGGAGGAGGAGGAGGAGGAGGAGGAGGAGGAGGAGGCCTAAGCTTTGACGCCATCGTCGAACTCGACTCCAAACTGACCGACTTTGAGGACTCGGTGCCGTCGCTTCTGTCGTGGGGAGCCGAGTCTGCTTCCGTGCTGGACGGCGTATCGTCTCCGGACGCCTTCCGTATCCTCGCGACACAGAAACACGTGCTACACGCAAGGTTTGTTCCCACAAAGTGTACTCCGCAGAAATCCCCCGAAGAAACCTGACTAAACATTGATCGTCCAAACTCGCAGATTCTTGTATCTCCGTCTCATGCTTCACCGACCGATCCTCACCGATCTCTCTGCGGGGTACGCCCGACCACATCGGGACGCCGCCGGAGGACCGTCCGATGCACCACCTAAGCTGCAGGACAAGGGCCTCAGGACGCCGTTCTTGACGGAGTGTGCCAGGGTGTGTGTGGACGCGGCTATGCGGCTCATTGATCTGGTGCAGGGTTCGTATCAGACGGACACGACCGGGGCGTGGTGGTGGAATAGCCTGTGTAAGTCCTTGCCTTAGAAACCTTTCCCGCATCGAGTATCTCAACCAGACGATGGGATATTGCGAAGCTCACATAGACTTCCAGATGCCTGCGCCGCCGGCCTAGTCCTGATCGTCTGCCGTCTATGTCCGCGCCTCTGGACGGGGCTAGACCACGCGGCAACGGTCGCCTCGTGGGAGCAGTGCCAGGGTATCTTGCAGGGCATCGCGGCCTTTAGCGTCTCGGCTCGCAAGTCGCTGGATCTACTGCGCAAGATTGACGGGGCCGTCACGCAGCTGCAAGCAGGTGAGTGTGAGCGCGAGCGTGTGTGTATGTGTTTTGTTTTGTCCCCCTTAGCCACAAGAGAAACCGAACCCAGTCTTTTCGCCCGCTCTCTCTCAAAATTCATGGGCTTTACAGTACGCTGATATGGGATTGTTTGTGTTATAGCAAGGGAACCATCGGGAGAGCAGATTGACCCCGAGATGAGTTGCGCGGGGTTGGCGGAGAGCTGGTCGCTTCCGGCGGATATCGACGTCTCGCTGCTTCTTGAGCCTGATCCCATGTCTTTCTTTCGCGGGTGGGAGGTGATGGGATACGAGACTTCGAACTCGTGATGAAAATAGAGCGTTTATTTTAGAGGGAGATTAATACTACCAAAGTGGGAACAGAAAGAATATTCGTCATTGTATGCGATATTGTAGAATACAACTGTCTATTGGTTCTAGGCACGTAAGTGCGTAAAAAAGCTCACCCTTGGCAAATATCTCTGTACGTAATCACCCTTTAATGGTGTATACTAGCATATACGTATCTCTGTGGTTCAAGTGAAAGTCTGTATTGTGCATAACTTGATGATAGGCAAGAATAAAATCTTGCCAAGGTCAAAAGTCATCAATAAAAAAAAGGGGGGGAGGGGGTCATGTAATTCAGTCCCGCATCAGCTTGGCGTCCTCCAAGACAACAGCAACCTGCGCCTCCCGCAGGATGAGAGACTCGTAGTGCTTGTTCCTCATATCGACCTTGACGGGGAAGGGCTCGCCCGTGGCCTCCAGGTTCAGGATATTCCTATTGTATGGTCCGTTCTAGTAGTTGGTCGTCAGTCAGTGGACTGCACTCCCAAAAAGGGAGAAAGAGGATGAGAGGCCACACTCACAGGCTTGTATTCGACACACTGGACCAACCTAGCAATATTCAAAAATATGCTGCGCTGAGCCAGGCGGTATCCCACACATATCCTCCGCCCGCCGCCAAAAGCCCACAACCCGTGCGCGATATCCGCCTCGTGGCCGTCCAACCACCGCTCTGGTTTGAACTCCTCCGGGTCCTCGCACTCGTTGGCGACGGCGGGGCCGTTGATGGCGAAGGCGGTGCCCGCGGGGAAATAGTACCCTTCAAACTCCATGTCCGCGGATGTCGTGTGGTCCGGCGTGAGCGGGAAGATGACGTGCCAGCGCAAAAGTTCCTTGGCCATGGCACAGATATACTTTAGGTCGTCCATGTCGGCGAGGGTGGGCAGGCGGGCTGCGTCGTCGACGCCGCAGAGGGCGTCGACCTCGTCCCGGGCGCGGCGGAAGACGGCCGGGTACTCGAGCGCCGCCATGGTCATGATGTTGAGGGCTTCGCGGGTCGTGTCGCTGCCGGCCTCGATGAGCTGCATGGCGACGTACATGCCGTCCACGTGGTCGCCTTTGTATTTCGTGTCCGGGTGGAGCAGCGTGTCGCGGACAAAGGACGGGGGCGCGGTGCCGTTTTCGACTTTGGCGGCAATGGGGCTGTACCAGCGGTCGTAGAGGTCGTAGTTCCACTGGCCGAGGGCCTCCCAGTGCGGGCGCCAGAGCTGGAGGAAGCGCGGGAGCTTGGCGAGGTCGGGGAACCAGTCGATGATGGAAGAGCCGATGGAGCCGACGAAGAAGGTGACTGCGTTTTGCATGTCGACGAGCTCTTCGGTGCTCTTGACGAGGCGCTCGCCGAGGGCGATGCGGTGGATGACCGAGTTTGCGTAGCGGTAGTGGTGGCGGTACCACTCGCTCGGCTTGAAGACGTACTCGGCCATCATCTGGGTGCTCTCGAGCTCCTGGAACTCGCCGTACTGGCGGAGGGCGGTGCCGCTGAGGAGGGTGTGCATGACGCGCCGGGGCTCGGCCCAGTCCTTTTGGGACATGAGGAGGGACTTGCGGTTGCGGCCGACGATTTCGTTGGAGATGGGCATGTGGTTTCGGGTGCTCGTCTGGCTGCTTCGCTTGGCGATGATTTCGCTGACGACGCGACTGCTGTTGAGGAGGATGAGGGTCTTTGAGCCGAGGTGGAGGGTGGTCATTTCTCCGTATTTTGCCATGGAGAGAAGCTGAATGAAAGGAAATATGAGATTGATGTCTACGGATAGCTTTAGAAGATGAGGAGAGAAGGATATGTACGCCTCTGTGGTAGGGGTCCCCTTTGCTGGCTTTGACTTGGAGCAGGTTCCCGAATAGGGGAACGCCTTCGGGGCCTGGTGGCATGACAGGACGTCTTCCATCCTTCCCCCTACGTTTGCCAATTGGTTTGAAATATTGGAGTACTATCACGATGAGTAGCGCGGAGGTGACTGCGGCGGCGAAAAGTATGGAGGCGACGAAGTGTTCTTGTCGTAGGTGTTCGAGAACGCTGTGGATATCCGACACGACCATTTTAGGGAATAGGAATTATCTGAGTGGTCTGAGTATGTCGTTGATACAAAGGTGAGTGATGATAGCATGACTACAGATATCAAAAAAAGATCAAACGCTTTTATCATGGTGTTGAAGGTTGAGCTGATGGCCATGAGGATCTGGATAAAGCGCATGTTCGGGACCGTTCCGACGCCGTTTGGTTTGGCTAGACCACAAACCCATGGTTTCGGAACCAAGCCGTTGCTGGGGTTTTACTTCCCGACAGGCCTAGAACACTTTCGGAGTCGGCTAGAACAGATGATGCGACTGTCTTTCTTCCATGGTACTTCTGGTAAGCGGTCCACACGATTTCCATGTTTGCCGCCATGTTTGCCGGGAGGGCCGTTTAATCAGTCCTCCGGGCCGGCGGGCTCGGGGAGTCGGCGAAGGTGGGGCCGACGGACAACGCGGTAAATGTGGATCTCCGGCGTAACGAAGCCAAGCTGGAGCCTTTAAGAACGACTTGCGCCGGCCAGAGATGATGAAGACTTGGAAGAACTCATGCACCCAGTCGATCTCGAGCAACAGCAGCCAACGCCTTGCTTCAGGCCGCCATGCAGGCGTAGACGGGAAATTCGCCCCTCTTTAGGATCAAAGATTTTCTGGCGCCATCGCGATACCCGATCTGCCGATGTCTGCGACTGTGGCTCACGGTGCGGCCTACGAGCAGCGGCCCAATCACGACGGGGCTGGGAATCTCTCTCTCAGTGTGTGACTCTGTGGCGCTCTGTGGTGCATTACTCTTTGGAGTGGAAAGGTCGCCAATGGATAATCTCCCAGCACAGCAGAGGGTGACAGTGAGAGTGGTTACACGTGTTGCCGCAGGTGACCTGGTTAGACAGGCCGCAGTAGGCTGCAGCAAGACGATGCAGATCCCTGTCGCCGCCGTGGTTTTTTTAGTCTTGAGGGGTTGGAGAAGGTAGAGTAACCCGACGGGGACGGGTCAGGCCAAGAGAGTGTTGGAGGAACGATTGGTGAGTCAATGATGAATCAAGAGATGAAGCGTATCGCAACTTTGTGCGACGGCTTCGACACGTCTCGTCGATAAGAAAAAGAAAGGCTCATGGAAGAGGCGGTAAGGATGCGTTGGCGAGGGAGCGCCAGAGCGGGGAGACGAGCCGGGCTGATCTCCACATGGGACGTTGAGGATGGTGGCATTGGGCGCACTCGCTGACCTCAAGACTCAAGAGTCAAGGCCTACGGAGTATGTACTAATCAACACGGATGGATACCAACTCAAGAGTGACTTGCAGAAGCGAGGAAAAAAGAGCTGAAGCATAGACGAGAAGATGCAAGGCATGGATAGTGGATTGTACTCCGTAGTGGATGATGCATGGGAACAAAGTGCAGTGTGTGTGTGCAAAGTGAGTACGTAGTACGTAGTATGAATTATTAGATAAGCACATATCAAGGCACCTGTAGTGTACGTACTGCGTACCAAGTAAGTAAGCGCGGGCAATTTCGACAGGGTGCCGCGGTGGCCGGTGGGACACTTGGACCACTTCATGGGCGAGATGGGAGCTGAGGTGGAAACAACGGGCCAGGGCAGGTTGCAGGGATGGTCGTAGCTGCTGGCCGTCGAGTTCCTTTTCGTCCCAATTGCAGCAATTGGCAATTTCGCAGGCAGCTCGCCTCACCCTGTTCACCTCGTCTTAGTGGACCGCAATCGCTGGGCGACCCCGCCGCCATCTGAGGTGAGCGGTCCCTCGTGTGGTCTCCTCCTTGCTCCTTCCTTGCTCTTTCCTTGCTCTTTCCTCGTGCTGTTGCTGCCAGCTGCCTCCCTGAACCAGGAAGGGCCTAGCTCTCCCATTACCTCCAGAACGAACTTGGTTGCTTGGGCTGCCTTCCCAGCGCCCATCGTCCCAGATTGTGTCCAGTGTGTGTGTGTGTGTGTGTGTGCCCCCAGCCACCCTTTCCCTCCCAAGTGTGCAACCACCCAAGTCTCCCCGCTCAGTCAGTTTTTGGGGGAACACCCCCGGGATATAGCTTCACGGCCTGTCCCGCTTCATCGCTTATTCCTCGAAAAACAAAACAATAACATCGCCAGATTATTGTCTGCGCACCCCGAAAAGCACAGAGCCTCATCGTTAATTCACCAACCACAATTCGACACCCCACGCCGTCGAACCTTCCATCATTCAATCGCGACGACCAAACCTTTCGAAGAGCGACCGATGCGCACCACAGGGTTCGATATACTCTCGCGACCATGATGCGAGATCCGCGTCGCCGGAGCCCAGAGAGCTCTCGGCGGCGAAGAAGAGACCGCCGTGGTTCTCGCGAACAACTCGCCACCGCTGCCGACGAAAGCGTCATATCCAGCATTCCCGGTCCATCATCGAGGGCCCCAACACAGCAGCAGCCCCTGCCGGCCCTGTATTCGCCGTCGCAATCGCAATACCCCCAATCCTATACCGAACCTCAGAGATACCCCGAAGCCGAGAGATATGCTGCCCCTTCTGAGAGATACTACGATCCTCAGAGATATGGCGAACCCCAACGATACCCCCAACCCGAACAGTACCAGCAGCATCAACAGCAGTATCCCCCTTCCGAGGCCTTCGTTCAGCCTCTAGGCTATGGCCAACCCGAACGATATACCCAGCCGCAGGAATATCAAGGACAGCATCACCAGCCCGAGAGGATGCGACCGCGAGGTGGCTCCAGTGCTTCTTCGTCCTCTTCCACATCCTCCTCCATGCTCAACATTTCAGCAAAAAGCCCCAAGTTTGGCGGCCTCTTCAACACTTTCTTTAGGGCCCCTTCTGAGCAGCGCAAACGTCGTAGGAGAAAGAAGCAGAAAGCCCGCATTCTCTCCTTTGGCAACTCCTCTTCCTCATCCGTCAACTCTGACATGGCTTACGGTCGCGGCTACATTGACCGCGACAAAAGTCAGCTTACGAGCCCGGCGCCTCAAGCCTACGCGAGCCCCTCGCTGTACCGCACTGAACCGGCTGACGCCCGTCAACAACAACAACAACATCCGCCTCCGATGCCCCGCGACAAGACCGATGAGGAAATTCTCGAGATTGGCCGCCAACTGCAAGACATTGCCCGGAGGCAGAATGACCATGATCTCAAGTCTGCTGCCAAGTCGCGGACGTCCCAGCTTGCCGGTACTGCGGCTGGTGCCGCAGCCGCAGCCGCCGCCTTCAGCCATTTTCGTAGTAAGAGTAAGAGCGACACCAAGACCAGAGGATCTGGCACTTCTAAACCTAATGAAAACGCTTCTTCCTCGGACGATGACTGGGAATCAGCGTCTGAAGATGAGTCTACTACTACGGACGATTCCGACAATGGTCTCGCATATGGCTCTGCCGTCAAGCCGTCCAAATCAGCAAGGATCTCAACAGCGCCCCCGGAGCAGATCAAGCCACCATCACGGAGGAGTACCATTGTGGACCCACGCCTCTTCGGACCCGTAAACTCTCTTCGCGGCGCTGTAAAAAGTCCATGCGGCTTCGGCGAAGAAGACCCCCGCTCCGCTGGCTCTTCCCGCCGCCACCACGAAGAGACGGTAGCCCAGGTCGAATCGCCCAAGACGGGAAAGCAGCCGATGCAGCGTATATACCCCGTGCCGACCTCGGATCCCGATAAGTTCGACTACGACCGTAGCTCTGTAACTTCATCCCGCCAGGATATTCCCCAGCGTGCCCGACCCGATCCGGTCCCTATCCAGCAGCCTATTCCCATCGTGCCTCTCCCGTCCAAGGTTTACGATGCAGAGAGATTCGAGGAGGAGGAGGAGCGCCGGAACTCTAAGCAACCTCGCCTGCCGCCCAAGGGCAGGAGCGCTGCCGAGAATGCCATCGCTGGCGTAGGCATTGCTGCCGCGGCTCTAGGTGCGACGATGGCTGCTAACCGTAGAGACTCGGGCGAGTACCTCGAACGTCCCGATGAGCGCCGAAGTGAAGTACGAGATCATCATAGGGAGGAGCACCGCGATTCCTGGCAAAACCGCCGCAAGGAGGAAGAGCCCGAACGTCCGGTAAGGATCGAGCTGGAAGACCGCGACCCTCACGATCAGAACGATCCCCGCCGGCCACATCGACGCAACAACGTTGAGATCATTGACGACCGAGACAAGCATCGTGCCGGCCGTTCTGATCCAGCCTATGAGGCCCTGAAGAAGCCCGACGTTGAGACTGACCCTCGTCCGGAGGTGTACAAGTTGCCCCAAGGTGATGAGATTCGAGTTGAGTACGACCCAAAAGATGACCGCCGGCCACGTGAGGAACCCAAGGAGCCTCGTAGGGATGACCGTAAGCCGGTGGTGGTCGTAGATGAACGCCGGGATGCGAAGCGGGTAGAGAAGCCGACTGAGGCGCCCCGAGAGAAACATGGGGTGGAGCATCCCGAGGCCCCCAATGCACAAGCCCCTATTGACCCTTTCCAGTTCCAGGTCGCTGATGATGCCTTCCAAACGCCAAAGTACGCCACCCCGAAGAGGCCCTTGACGCCCCAGGTCGTCACCGTCGACCGCGAACCCAACTTTGACGACTCTCCACCGAGGAAGCCCGACTACTCCGAATCCCGAATGAGCCGCAAAGACTCCTTTGAACTCGAGAAGCGTCTGGAGCAGTACCAGCAAGGAGCACGAGACCGTTCCCGGACCCCTGAGCCGCGCCGTCGGAGGGACTCGCTCCAAGAGGAACAGCATGCTGCAAAGACCATCTACGAGGAGGCCAAGCATGCTACCGTGCCAATAGCCGCCGCCGCCATTGCCTCTGCCATCGCTGTCGAGGAGGAGAGATCACGCAAGCACCGCAACGATCAAGTGACCGAGGATGGCTCCCGTGACAGGTCCCAAGCTACCAAGGACGCCGTGCAGGAGGAGGCAGATAGGTACTACCGTGAGACTGTCATCGCCCGCAAGATTGCAAAGGACGAGATCCGCTCGCGCAGCGCATCTCCCCACGACGAGTCTGTCGTTGGCAAGTGGCAGGACCACGACGAGGGTCCTGATATCGTTACAATCGTAACGCCGCCGGAGATGGATCACCCTCATGACAAGAGCCCCTACGACGCGCCCAACGCCGACGTTCGCATTGATCATGTCATCATCCCCGACGAGCTTAACCGCTTCCGCCTGCCCCACCGTCAGCTCGATCCCGGCGCACAGCCGATCTTCCAATCTCGCGATCCTTCTGCTGAGCGTGAACGACCACTGCTAAACCTCGTCTTGCCTACGCCCGTTGTTACCCCACGCCACACGCCTGCCCCCGAGAAGCAAGCGGAACGACAATTTTCCAGCAGAAGCCAGGAGCCTGTTCAACCACGATCAGTTCCTTCAACTGAGCCACCTTCTTCTGCAACCGCGCCTACCACTGAAATCGTTTTCGGACCCAGAGGCGAGGTTATGGAAAGGCCTACGACACCCACAGCCAAGTCCGTCACTTGGGGCGAAAATGAGACAAAGAGCTTCCAGATCGAGAGCCCAGAACCTCCGAAAAAGGCGCCGTCCAGCACTTCTAGCAAGTCAAAGAAGAAGAAGAAATTGGGCAAGAGTTCACCATGGGGCATCATCGCGGCGGGCGTCGCTGGTGGAGCTGCAGTGGCTGCAGTCTCCGAAGCTTCCGAAGCTCCCAAGATGCGCGATCCTTTCGAGAGCAAGCCGGACGAAGATAGGGAGAGGCGTAGTCCGCCAGAGTCACCAAAGTCTCGTAGCGTTGAGCCTATATCGCCCATCATCGAAGCTGCCCCGTCTAAGCTCACCACGTCGTTCGAAGATGAAGCAGACTTGCCTCCCGCCCCCGGCCCCAAGCCGTCCAGTCCTCAGACATCTAGAATGCCTGGCGCCTTTGCGGATGATCTAGAATTTGCCTCTGTGCTGGCGGCTGGTCTCCAAGACACTGGGTTTGACCCGAACATCGTGATTGACAACCCTACCTACATGCGCCGCGACAGCCCGCCGGGACAGAGTGAGCCGGCCGTCTACCACCAGCCTTTTGCGGAGACTGTCACCGACCTGGGCATCTATGGCCCCGATCACACGCATGATGGGCCTACTGGAGGCGACCGCGGTTTTGTCATGGGCGAGGTGCCAGAAACGCCAGTAGCCGAAAAGGAATTGCATAACGGCCACGCGGCTGACTCCCCTCGTGATAAAGAGCGCCGTGACAAGGGCAAAGCTAAAGAGGTGCCATTTGTTGAGCGGGAGCCGCTAGTTGAAGAGGCTGAGCCGTCGAGGAAGCTGAGCAAGAAGGAGAAGCGCAAGCAAAAGGCGTCAAAGAGGCAAAGCCTAGACAACGCGCTGCCTGACGAGACTTACGATGTCCCCGAATCAAGATCACAGCGTGAACCTGCTTCTTCGTCTGCACCGGCCCCTGTCTACGAAAGACCGCACGGCTATTATGACGTTCCCGAAGCGACATCACGACCTGAACCCAACCCATTTGCACCGATGGATCAAGCATACGCCAGACCTCACAGCTATCACGATGTCGCCGAAGCTGCACCCCAACCTGCGCCAGCCCCTTACTCGCAAGCAGTGCCCACCTACGATAGACCTCATAGCTACTACGGCGAGCCAACAATCGCTTACCGAGACCAACCTGCTCCCTACGCAGACACAGGCCTTCCTTACGAGAGGCCTCACAGCTACTACGACACCCCTCAAAGCCCGGAAACCGTTGTGGCGCTTGGCTCAAAGACTCGTGAATTCCAGGACGCACCTACCTGGGATCTGCCCAACTCTTCTGGGACAGCGCACTCCTACGGCGAGACTCCCGCCTCTAGAGCGGTGGACTCCGAAGCTGCCCCGGCAGATACCGAAGCCTCCCCATCAACGAAAACGAGTAAGAAGGACAAGAAGGAGAAGAAGAGGCGACCCTCGAGATCTGATATCGTTGTCACATATGATGACGATGAGCCAGAAACCCAAGAGCCATCTTCTTACAACGAGTCGAACACCTCCCGCGAGAAGCTGCCTGAGAAGGAATTATACCGCTCTAGTGAACCTCAAGAGGCTGGTGACGACGCGTGGGACGAGCCTGCGAAGAAGAAGAAGTCCAAGAAATCTAAGCAGAGCTCAGACGAATGGACAGACGTCGAGAAACAAAGCGATTACACCGCGACTCCAACCGCCGAACGGAGCAGCACTCGCGACGGTCTTGAGGACTGGGACGATCTTCCGGCCAAGTCTCAGCGGGACCGTTCCAAGTGCGAAGACCGAGATGTGAGCTCTGTAGTGTCTGATCCGTCGAGCAGGCGAGAGAAGTCAGAACGCCGTTCCAAGAGCAGCCGGCAAGACGACCGCGACGTGAGCTCCGTTGTCTCTGACCCTGCGAGCCGACGTGACAAATCTGATCGTCGATCTCGAAGCAGCCGGTACGAGGATGCTGACGCCAGCTCGGTGGTCTCTGATCCCTCTAGCCGGCGTGAGAAATCCGATCGCCGGTCCCACAGCAGTCGCTTCGATGATAAAGATGCTAGTTCAGTAGTGTCCGACCCCGCCACACGGAGCGAAAAGTCAGAACGTCGCTCCAAGAGTCGTCGTGAGGACGATCGGGACGCGGCATCTGTTGTCTCTGACCGTTCGTCTCGTCGCGAGAAGTCTGACCGACACTCCAACGGGACTCGCTACGACGACGACGCCAAGTCGGTGGTGTCCGAAAGTTCTGAACGTAAGAGACGCAGTCGAGACGACAAGAAGAGTCCCAAGGAAGACGAGAAGCGCAGTAGCGGCTTCTTTAACAACTTATTCGGAAACAGAAGCAGTAAGGATGTATCTGGCAAGGATGAGAAGTCGTCTTTTTTAGATAATGCCGGCACCCTTGGCGCGGGTGCCGGCTTGGCGAGCGCCGTGGCAGCTTTGGGCTCCATGATGTCCCGCTCCAACGCCAACGAACCGCAGTTGGAAGAGTCGTCAGATGCTCTCCGACATCGCGAGAGATCCGCCAGTCCCCCGCGAGACGTTGACATCGTCGATCCTGAGATTGTGCCGCGGATTATTAGACCTGCTATCGATCCTCAGTACGGAGACTTCCTCCCTCTGCCACCCAGTCCAATGCCGCCCAGCACGCCTGGCTCGCCCACCCAAACAGTCTTGGATGAGCTTCCTGCCTTGCCCGACAGCCGGCCGGAGACGCCACCGGAAGAACGCAGGCGTCAGCACGAGACCAAGACACCAAAGACACACGCGCGCAAGCGTAGCAACATGGAGACACCGACCAGAAGCCCTAGTCAGACAGCCGTGCCCTTCAAGCTGCGACTCGGGCAGAGGTCGGCACCTTCGTCTCCCGGTACCTTTGGAGTCTCGCCAGTCACTTCCCCAGCAGTGCCGACGTTTCCCGAGAACACACACATCACTCCTCCTCACCCCGCTTCCCTGTCCAGGCGCCCTTCGAGGCCCATCTCGTGGGAAAATAGCCGCGAGATCAAGCCACTCTACCTACTTGAACAGGCTCGTCAGGAAACCGCAGCTCAGTCAATGGAGCCACCCATTGATTTCCCAGAACTGCCTCCGAGCGAGCCGTCCTCGCGGGAGTCTCCCGCACCGGAATTCGCGCTGCGTGATGAGGATGTGAACTACTTCCATCAGCTTCAGGCATCACCCTTTGAGCCTGACCTTCGTCTTGACACGGATATGTCACGCTATCCTGAAAAGATGACGCGCCGTTTCAGCTCGCAAGAAACTACGCCCAAGGCAGAGCATGCAATCCAGCATGCTGGTGCCTTGTTTAATGCGGCATCGCCTGGCCTTCCCGCTACTGCAGATGCCGCCAAGGGGTTGGATTTGTCAGAGCATGATCTAGAGATGCTGCCCGCACTTCCTGCTAGCTCTCTGACGTCGCCGACAACAAGATTGGAGACTGGATCGGCATCCCCTCTTTCTCAAGAGAGAGACTTACCAGGCCCATCATCGCCATCAGTTGCAGGAACTGCAGTCACTTTAAGAGAGTTGCAAGACTTGCCAGCCCTTCCTGCCAGCCCTGTGGCATCCCCAGCAACGGCTATTGCTAGTCCTATCCATCATGCGGCCAAGTTAGAGCAGCTACCTGCCCTTCCCGACAGCCCCGTGACGCACGCAACTGAGATGCCCGAACCGGAACAAGTAGAGATTACGTCCAAAGAAAGAAGTTCGTATCTCCTACACATGACGCCCCCATCAATCATCAAAAATCTAATGGATCGTGACACACCAGACACACCATCGAGCCCTACGCCAAACCGGTCCCGTGATATTGCTGCCAACTTGATCGAGGTTGATCATGATGGCCATTCCCGTGATGATGCTATCGGTGCTCTGTTAGGAGGTGCCGCGGCTGGTCTGGGAGCTGCCTATCTGGCAGACCGTCTCAAAAGCCATGACAAGTCGGCAGAACTTGACCGCGAAGCAAAGGCCTTGGAGGCTCCCGAGCCAGCGGAGCCACCAATGGTTGAGGCGAAGAAATCCAAGAAAGACAAGAAAAAGAAGAAGAAGGGTAAGGGTGCGTCAGTCCACGGTTCCATCCTTCCCCCAGATGAGCCTACTTCTTCTGTTCTTGCAACAGATGCCGATAAGACCTTGGTGTCAGCCGAGCCACTTGCAACCGACTCCATCGACAAGGACTTCTCGCCGTCAAACGACCAAGCTCGCACCATGCCAATTGAAGAGTTAGCCCACGTCTCGATTAACGACACTGTTCACGCCGTGCCACTCGACAAATCTGTGGTGCCTTCCGCCAAGGTTCCCTCATTCGATGTCTTCCCTGACGATATGACCAATTTGCCATCGCTTCCTGCTGCGTCTGCCGATGAGGACGCACTTCTCTCAGCCGATTTCACTCCCTCACCAGCTCAGCGTGCCGATGAAACGCTGCCTCCAACTCAGGCTCGTCTGTCTCCGGAGTCGAAAGCTGGGGCACTTGCCGCGATCGATGCACTTCCACATATTGCAAGCAACGGTGACGACGCGGAAAACCCCCCTACAGAACCGTCTGTAGATCGCAGCGCGCTGGTCAAGGAAGCCGTTCCTGAAGCCGCTACACCTGAGCGTTATCTCGAGGATGACGCGTCTGACAAAAAGCTGTCAAAGAAAGAGAGAAAGAAGCAACTCAAGATCAAAAAGGCTTGGGAGCAGGCTCAGGCTGAGATGCAGGAGCTTGAACAATCCGCCGGGTCGACCGAGCAGAACAGCAAGGCCACCTCCGAAGCAAACACGACGCCGTTCGCCAATTCCACGCCTGTGTTTGAGCAGACTGCAGAGACTACCGAGGCCGAGCGAGCTGCGGGCGTCCCGCTACCTGAGGTCTCGGATGAGGTTTTTGAAGCTCCTCTCGAGTCGTTGGCTGATGTTGGGCCCGCTCCCGAACCCGAAGTTGCTCCCGAAATAGAGGCGATGCTAACTTCCCTACCTGCGGTTGAACAAGCGGCAGCTATCCCTCTACCAGAGGCCTCGGACGAGGGCCTTGATGCTCCTCTGGACTCTGTGGCCCCTTTCGAGCACAAGCCTGACACCGCTTTCGATGCAGAGGCACTGCCAACTTCCTTACCGATTCATGGCCAAGCTACAGAGACCCGTGAGATCGAGCAAACTCCAGCTGAGCCGCTCCCCGAGAAGGTCGAGGATGTGTCTCAGTTGGAGGTCAAGGAGGCGTCCAAAGAGCCGGTCAAGGTCAAGACAGAGGAGGAGCCCAAATTCGAAGAGGATCCCTTTACTGGTTTGAGTAAAAAGCAGAAGAAAAAGAAGATGGCAGCAATGGCAGCAGCAGCTACCGCCGCCGCCGCTGCAATCGCCACCCGCGAAGCTGACGCTTCTGAAGCCAAGGAAGCCCCCGTCTCTCCAATCCCACTTCTCGAAGCCATCTCGGAGCCGCCAATTGGTGCCGAAAAGGCAACTGAGACCACCACGGATGCCGAAAAAGCTGCAGATGTCCCTCTCTCTGAAGTCTCGGAGCCTATTCCAGAGACTTCTCTCGAGCCTGTCGATGGTCTCAAGGAGAAGGAGTCTTCCGATGCCGAAGTTGCTGCTGCTGTTCCGCTACCTGAAAATGTCAACGAGTCGCTCGAGCCAGAGATTGAGCCAGAGGTTGTACAGGTTCAGCCTGAAGAGCAGCCCGAAGAGCAACCCGAGGTTGAGGTGGACCCCTTTGCTGGTCTCAGCAACAAACAGAAGAAAAAGAAGAAGGCCGAGATGAAGGCAGCCGCTAAAACTGCTGAGGCCGCTGTGGCCGCCGCCGCCATGCCACTTCCTGAGCAAGTCAACGAGTCGCTCGATCCGGAGGCCATTTTTGAGCCAATCCTTGCTCCCAAGGAGAAGGAGAAGGTGTTTTCCGATGCCGAAATTGCTGCTGCCGTTCCACTACCTGAGCATGCCGATGAATCGCTCGAACCAGAGATTGAACAGGCCAAGCTCCAAGCACAGCCAGAGCGTGTCGACGAGTTGCTCGAACCAGAAGTCGAGCAAGCCAAGCCTGAAGAGCAGCCCGAGGTTGAGGTGGACCCCTTTGCTGGCTTGAGCAACAAGCAAAAGAAAAGGAAGAGGGCCGAGATGAAGGCAGCCGCTGAGGCTGTCGAGGCTACTAAAGCTGCGGAGGCTACCGAGGTTTCTGAGACTACTGCCGTCGACGCCGCCGCCGTTCCACTTCCTGAGCATGTCGACGAATCACTAGAATTGGAGGCCGAACAACCCAAGCCTGAAGAGCAGCCAGTGGTCGAGGAGGAACTAGTGGTCGACAAGCAGCCTGCAGTCGAGGAGCAGCCTTCGGTTGAGGTGGACCCCTTTGCTGGCTTGAGCAACAAACAGAAGAAAAAGAAGAAGGCCGAGATGAAGGCAGCTGCTGAAGCTGCTGAGGCCGCTGGTATTGCTGCCGCTGCTGAGGCCGCTGAAGTAAGCAGAGCGGTGGAAGTCGAGCAACCAGCAGTCACGTCACCCTCGGGCCCCATCGAAGAGGACAAGCCAGCTAATGAAGCGACTACTGCTCCTGAAACCAGCACCTCTCAATCTAAGGAATCCATCGAGCTTGAGCAGCCTGCAGCCACTTCTCTTGCAGATATCGAGGAAAAGAAGCCTGAAGCAGAGCCGGAGCAGCCCAAGGTAGAGGAAGACCCGCTTGCAGGTTTGAGCAAGAAGCAGAGAAAGAAAAAATTGGCTGAGATGGCTGCTACCGCCGAGGCTGCCGCTCAAGCCAGCGCCGCTCAAGCTAGCGAAACTCCCGAGGCGTCAAAATCTCTTCCAGAGCCTTGTCTGGCCCCCTCTGCCGATGTTCAGGAGGTCAAGGACACGGATGAAGCTGAAAAGCTCCCGGCACTCCCCATTATTGAGGAACCGGTTCCTGTCCCCGTCCTAGATGCGGCCCAGGAATCACTGCCTGAGATCAACGATCTCAAGGAGGAAGTCGAGACTGACCTACCTATTTCATCCCCGGTTCCTGACTCTTCAGTCCCTGACACCAAGAAGGATAAAAAGAAGAAGAAGAAGAAGGGCAAGAAATCTCTGGATGAGACAAACGAACCTCTTCGATCTACTTCGGCCCCCGAGTCCTCAACTACTTCTTCTCAACAAGACACTCCTGCATTGCACATCGAAGAAAAGTCGGTTGGCACCGCTGATGACGTTGCACCCGTGCAGCAAGAGTCCGTTTCCGAAGCGCCGGAAGCCAAGTCCGCCGGGATCCAGGACAGCCTTCCTGACCAGCAACTCGATATCCATGGCCCCCAGGAAAAGCCCAACACACCATTGGAATCATTGCCGTACCCCTCTGAGTCTAAGGACAAGTCACTCGACCCATCTGACAGCTTGTCTGAGCAGCAGATTGCAATTCTTGACCAAGACGACAAGCCCACCGACACCAACGTGGTGGCCATTGGCGAAACTCAGCGTGTACCTTTACCACAAGAGGAAGGCCCAGCCACGCTTGAAGATGACCCCTGGCAGCTAGACGAGGACCCATGGCAACAACCACCCTCTATCTCTGGACAAGGAGACATTCCTGCAAAGAGCGATGAGGTTTTACAGCCCCTGAAAGCCGATCAAATCACTGATGACACCTCTGTCGAATTGCGGGAAGCAGTGGACCCAGCTGAGGCCGAGTCTGCGCCTTTGTCCAAGAAGCAGAAGAAGAAGCTGAAGAAGTCCAAGAACGACCAGACCGCTGACGCTTTAGTTGAAGCTGAAGCAAAGCCTCCTTCCACCGAGCCAGCTGCAAGCACAGAGCCTTCCGCTTCGGAATTGAAGTTGGTATCGACCGATAATGACACTCCTCAACTTGCCTCCGTAGAACCTGCTGCCGATAACGCAGTGGTCGAATCGCCCGCTGCGAAAGCATCGGAGGAGACACCCGTTTTGCCTGATGCCGAACCAGATGCTGCCACTGTTCCTCTCCCAGAGGACGATGGCGATTTTGTTAAGCAGGTCCCCAAACAGATCGTTGCCAAAACGGATGCAGTAGCGATGCCTCTCCCTCAAGATGCTGCCCAAAAGGCCTATGAGGTATCTGAACCAGCTTCGGCCGAGAAAGACGCCGCTGCGCTCCCTCTTCCGGAGGATGTTACCGAAAGAGCCTCCATTCCCGCTCCTGAATCTTTTGACAACGTGCCACCTGTTGTCGACGACAACGCAATGGCAAATTCTGAGCCTAGTCTCATGGAGCCGCCACCAGCTGAACCCATCCAGCTCGAGACGTCCGGCAAAAAGAAGAAAAAAAAGAAGAAGGCCAAGAGTGCTTTGCTGTCACAGCTGGATGACGTATTGCCGTCCGAGTCGACGCCTCTACAATCCCCAGGTGTTCAAACGCCTACCACCGAGGCTCCTATCACCAAGACTCCCGTCAACGAGACTGCCGCTACCGATGTCCTTGTTGGCGAAGGTCCCGTCATCGATACCCCGGCGTTCGATGCCTGGGGAATCGAGAGCCCTGCTTCCGAGTACTTGACCAACGCCCCTACTACTGAAGCTCCCTCTGTTGAGGCTCCTTCCGTCGAGACTCTTACCGCCGAGACTCCTACCGTTGAGACTCCTGCCGTTGAGACTCCTGCCGTTGAGACTCCTGCCGTTGAGACTCCCACCGAGACTCCGGCTGCTGAGACTCCGGCTGCTGAGACTCTGGCTTCTGAGACCCCGGCTGTTGAGACCCCGGAGGTCGAGACTTCGACAGATGCGGCTTCATCAGCGCAAGCTCTCTCCGCCGAAGACGTCGTCAACGATAAGTCCTCCGCTGAAGAGCCAGCGGCTGAGGCATCTAAGGTTTTAATCACGGATGCATTCGCTGAGGGCCTGTCCAGTCAGGGGATTGTTACCGATGCCAGCGCTTCTGAACCCATCCTTGTGAACGCACAGCATCCAGAAGACGTCGACCTTCAGACGGCCAAGTCCGACGTACTTACCGAAACGGCCCCAGCTACGGCGGACACTCTTGAGACTTCTGCGTCTTCTTCACTTCCCACTGAGCAACAGCAAGACTTGATTCCGGCCGATGAGACTTCCAAGTCTTCCAAAAAGTCGAAGAAGCAGAAGAAGAAGAACAAAAAAGCAGCCGAAGAGAATGAGCAGGTGTCTGCAATCATCAACGAAGAGCCTTCTGCCGAACTCGCAGATGCTACTCCATTCAACACATCAATTGATGAGCAGTCCTCTGCCACCCACGTGCAGAAAGCCGATCAATCCCAGGCAATCGATGTCAAGTCGACAGATGTCGCTATAGAAGAGGCAGCTCAAGTGGAACCTCAAACGCCAACAACGATAGAAAGCCAGGACGAGGCTTTCCTCACACCTCCGCAAGGGCCTGCGACTCCTATCAGCCCAGACGAGGTTTTCGAGAATGCCTCTCAGGAGCCGACGCTTGTCGACAGCCAAGCTGACTCGCTTGAGACCAAACCGCAAGAAGCCGTCGCCGAGGACCAGCAGGACCGTGGTCTAGACTCTCCAATTGAACCCGAAGCACTATCGTCCAAGAAGAGCAAGAAGAAGGCTAAGAAGGCTGCTGCTGCAGCCGCCGCAGCCGCAGCCGCAGCCGTGACCACGTTGGAGCCAGCTATTGAGGACGTTACCAAGGATTCGGACAAGATGGATACTAAGGACGAGACGGTTGCGGACGAGCCGATCACAGACAAGACGATCACGGACATTGGAAACTCGAACACGACCATTTCAGACAAGATTGGGGAGATGGAGCAATCATCGCAAGAACCCCCCGCGAGCGGCGAATTCGCTACGGACAGCAAGATTTCAGAGGAGGCAGACCCAGGACCAACTGTTACCAAAAAGGGAAAGAAGAAGAAGAACAAGGGCAAGAAGTCTTCTACCCTGGACCCGGAGAGTACCCTCGAAAACTCGGCAGATGTAGCGAATACAAGAGAACAGTCCGCTTATTTGACCTCTCCGTCGGGAGAGCTTAGCAGTGACGAAATCCCCTTCCCGCAAGCAGATACGTCGACAGAGGCTGAGTGGCCGACTGCTACAACTGCGGGCAAGAAGAAGAGGAAATCCGTGACCTGGGCACCTGAACTGGAGTCTTTCTCGACCATTGTTGAGCCTGAGCCTGAATTGCCTCATGAAGACGAGAATGGCTTGGAGACGGCAAGCAACACGGAAAGCGACTCCATCTTCCAGGCATCTTCTGCAATCGAGCCAAGCTCGGTACAGGATGCGTCAAGGGCAGGGGAGTTGCCCGAAGCAGGCAGTCCAGGCGATGTTCCGACCTCGCAAGGTTCAAAAGACAACGCCGATCAACAAACAGCCACAGCTGTGGCGGAGAAGGATCTCGACTCTGATGGCCAAGCACAGATGCACCCTGCAAGCGAGTCCAGTGAGGAGGCCTTGCCCACACTGCAAGACACAACAACGATCCCCAGCGATCATGTTCCGTCATCTTTTGGGCTGAACACCACGCGGGGAGTCGCAGGCGAGCCAATGGATTATCTGACCCAGGAGCTTTCAACGCCTGCCTCTTCCAGGGACAGCGGCGCAGAGGTGGCCAACGAGAAGGGCGGTGAGACATCTGAGCGGGAGCACGAGGTGGACGCGGAGCAGGTGGCTAGCGCCCAGGCTGGTGCAACATCGGACCCCGAAGCTGCGGGCCGCCCTGACACCATTGACGAACCATCAGCGGGATCCAACGCTCAAACGGGAGAGGTCGGCAGCCAGGACCCCGGCCTGCATGTGGGTGTGGAGTCGATTGACGACAAATCACTGGAGAACACGCAAAACGGGCGGATAGCGGATGCCCAAGCCGTGGGACCGGCCCTCACCGACTCGGCCCTGGAGCTTCTGGAGGCTGGAGACCCACTTCACACCCCGGTCACAGCCTTGGCGAACCAAGAGACAAACACGGAGATCCCCCAACCTCTGGGACAGGGCACGCAGGAGGGACAGGTACCCAGTCAGACATCATTGGAGGTTGGCAAAAAGTCTGATGCGGGGATTACTGACTCTACTGCCGAGACCGAGACCCTTCCGGAAGACGTTCAGCAACTAGACAAATTCTCAAACGTCGACAAGAAGGAAGAAGAAAAGAAGGACCAGAGAGAGGGATCTGAATCTCTCGCCGCCAATGCTGGATTCCCGGGTCAGTCAGATTATTCGGAATCTTTGGGTCAACCGATTTTGCCGGAGCCGCAACTAGAGCCGCTCTCGGAGACTCTTCCCGGCCTTGAACCGACAGGGGACCCGAGTACCACCCAGGACCTGGACCAGACCGAGACACAAGTCGGTCAGGAAGACGACCTTGGTTCTGAGCCCTCAAGCTCGAGCAAGATGTCCAAGAAGGACAAGAAGAGCAGCAAGAAGAAGACCAAGGCTGCATCTTCAGAGCCGGTTCCTCATGATGATGTCCAAATTCTCAGGTCACAGAGTGTGGACGACGGAGCCCCAGCCGTCAAGGCCATTGACGAATCAGTCCAACCACCGGAGCAGGCGGGGCCGGAGCCCTCGCCGGATGTCACGGACGCCCCGGAGGCGACCACCGTAAGAGAAGCCATCGAGGCTGGCGAGGATGAATGGGCAGTTCAACCAGCTGGCAAGAAGAGCAAAAAAGACAAGAAAAAGAAGGATATGGCTCAAGCATCTGCTGTCGTGGAAGAGCAGAGCACTGAGCCTGCGCCTGCAACGCGCGAATTTGCCTCTGAGCCAGAAGCTCCTTTACAACCTTCAGTAGATGAAGCCTCCAAGGGTGACAATACTGGCGACCACAAGCCAACAGAGGATTCTAGGGACGACCCGGAGAGTGCAGAGCCCCAGAAGAGTGAAGAGGTGCAAGCTCCCGCAGAAAGCACATCAGATGACGTTCAAAGTATATTACAATCAACAACAAAGGAGGAGCTGTCAGCCGAACCAGTAGAGGCTGACATCGGTGACTTCGAGCCGACCAAGAAGAGCAAGAAGGACAAGAAAAAGAAGAAGAAGCAACAAAGCCTTTCATTAGACGACAGTCAGGAGCTTCCTCAGCCGAAGACTCCGCTAAAGATATCTTCCTCTGCTTCACCTGACGACGTCCTCTTACCCGGCGACACAGCACAGAAGCTTTCTCAAGGTGTGCATGCTTCTTCAGAGACAGTACCCGAAGGCCCGTCAAAGGCCGATGCTCAGGATGACTCGACTTTGAAGTCCGAGGAAGCACCACCGACCCAAGACCCAACAGCAACTTTGCAGCCTACCGACCTGGAAGCAGGAGCCTCCCCTACCCCTGCGACTGAAGAATCCGAAGTCAAGCAGGAGTTACCCTCGGAACCTTCCATCCAAACCGATCCTGCTGCAACAACGCTCGAATCACCTGCAGACAACACCACTCCACTGGTAGAAGAAGAGATTTTGGCTGTCACCAAGAAGTCCAAGAAGGACAAGAAGAAGAAAGGCCTCGCTCCAGACACCTCCGATGAGGCGCCAACCAAGCTTGAACCGGAGCTTGTGACTAAGGAGATTGACCCGTCAAATGCGACAGAGTCTTCCGAGCCGTCGGCAATGCCTGCTGTGATACCAGCCGCAGAAGAGTCAGGCCCCAAGATTGTGGAGGAGGTAGTTACTACACCACAGGCAACGGTAAACACCAAGCCGCCAGCCATTACGTCCGGGGGCTTTATCCCTGAGGACCAATCGGCAACCACCGTGGAGGAAGAGATTACCACCTCGAAGGAATCGAAGAAGGACAAGAAGAAGAACAAGAAGGACGCCGCGCAGGACATTTCGGAAGACTCTCCTGCTCTAGAGGCAGAACCTGCGCCTGAATCGACACCAGTGCCACAACCGGAGGGAGGTCGCGATGAGGCCGTCGTTCCTAGTGACGAGGTGACCACCCAGCCAAAGGACACCTCAGAAGAGTCCACAATCACGACAGAGCTTCCCAAGCAGCAGACGGAGGTCGAGGAAGGCCCTTTTAAAGGCATGAGCAACAAACAGAAGAAGAAAAAGAAGGCAGAAATGGCCGCTGCCGCTACCGCGCTAGCCGTTGCTGCTGAAGGCGCTGCTCAGGAACCCAAGCCTGTTGCCGAAGAACAAGCCGTCAACGTCGCCCCTGCTGCTCTCGAGACCCCTCCTGAGGTGACCGCCACCGAGGACGCTTCTGTGCCCGAGTCACAGCCTGCAGAGGAAATCAAAAGCGCGGCAGATGTATTACCGGAGTCGACAGAGCAGACGAAGTCCGAGGAGGATCCGTTCAAGGGAATGAACAAGAAGCAAAAGAAGAAGAAGATGGCTGAGATGAAGGCGGCAGCTGAAGCTGCTGAGGCTGCCACCGCTGTTGAGGCTGTCGAGGCCGAGAAGTCCACGGAAGACAACACTGCCGACGAGAAGCCTGTCGAGGCGCATCCCACAGAGGACTTCCTTGCCGAGGAGATCCCCACCAAGAAGGAGCCTATTGATGAGAAGTCTGCCGACGAGAAGCCTGTCGAGGAGATCCCCATCGAGACACGTTCCTCAGACGACACGCCTGCCAAGGAGGTTTCTACTGAGGACAAGTCACTTGTTGGAGACACGACCACTGATAAGACTCCCATCGAGACGCCGGTCAAGGAGCAGCCCGCTTCGGGGCCAGAACGCGCAGCGGAACCAGAAGTTGTGCCAGAGGCAGCATCGGAGCCGGCCAAAGTTGAGGAGGACCCTTTCAAGGGCATGAACAAAAAGCAAAAGAAGAAGAAGATGGCCGAGATGGCTGCCGCTGCCGAGGCTGTCTCGGAGACCCAACGGATGCCTTCTGAGCCTGCTACAACCGAGGAAGAGACAAATACTCCAGCCAAACTTCTCGATGAGGAGCCTGTTGTTGAGGAGTCTACTGCTAAAGAGCCTCTAGCTGAGTCGAAGTCTATGCCTGTACCAGAGCCCGAGCAGCTTCAAGCCGATGAGGACCCTTACGCTGGTCTGAGCAAGCAAGAAAACAAGAAGAAAATGGCTGCTGCACTGCCCGCTGCCGAGGTCAAAGAAAAGGCCGTTGAGGAGGTACCTAACGAAGACAAGGTTACCGTTGAGATACCTGCGGAGACCACCGTCGAGGATAAAGCTTTTGAAGAGGAGCCTGCTGACGCCCTGGCTGCCGAGGAGTCACCTGTTCACGACAAACCCACCGATGAGAATGCTGTCAAAGACTCGCTTGTTCCAGAGGCGCCTCAGGTCGACGAGGACCCTTTCAAGGGCATGAGTAAGAAGCAGAAAAAGAATAAGATGGCCGAGATGGCCGCTGTTGCGGAGATGGCTGCCGTCGCCACTGTTTCTGAGCCCACCACTACTGAGACCTCACAAGTCCCCGTGGAGAAGCCCGAGGAGGTGGCGGTTGAGAGCAAGATCATCGAGGAGATGTCTGCCGAGGCAGCTGCCGAAGAGAAGCCCACCGACAAGTCCGAGCCGGAGCCACCCATCGTCGAGGAGGACCCTTTCAAGGGCATGAACAAGAAACAGAAGAAGAAGAGGATAGCCGAGATGGCAGCGGCTGCTACTGCTGCAACTGCCGCCGGAGTCATCGCATCTGAAATGAAGGATATCCACCACGACAAGGCTGCAGAGGACAAGGCAGACATCCCAACCGAGCAGCCACCCGCGCTTGAAGCAGAGACTGCCGCGACATCTGAGGAAGCTCCTAGGGATGTTGCTCCTGAGCTTCTCGAGGCGAAGGAGGCGCCCGAAAAGACCGAGAGCCAGGTCGACACATCTGCAATTGCGGATGTCAATGTCGACGACGAGTTCCCGTTGGTCGAGAAGAAGGCGAAGAAAGACAAGAAGAAGAAGAAGGGCAAGGCCTTGGACATCCTCGAGTCCGACCCCTCGACTGAGATCATCGCCCAAGCAGCCGAATCTCCCTTAGAGCCCTCTACCGAGGCTGTTCCCGAGCCCGCCCCGAACGATTCTGCCGCCGTCGAGCGCACAGATGACGCAGTAGAGGAGCCTTCCACACCAGTGCCAAGTGCAACTATTGAGCAGTCTGCCGATCGATCGATGCATCCCGAGAATGCCGAGGCACCTGTTGATGAGCCAGCCAAAGAGACAATCGAAGCGGTGGCACCACACGATCCTCACCCAGCTACCTCTGAGTCTGTGGAGGACGATTTGTTCCCAAAGATGTCCAAGAAAGATAAGAAAAAGAAGAAGGGCAAGCTCCAGGATGACTCCAATCCCCCCTCTGGAAACGCGACGCCCGTCGCCTGGGAGACTTCAGACCCTTTTGCTGTATCTGCCCCCAATCTTTCAGGAGCACCAGCCGCCACTGCCACCGATGCTCCCGCACTTGACTCAACTGAGACGGCCAAAAAGACTTCAGTAGAAGTCTTGGAGCCACAAGGTGATGCCGTCACTGCAGATGCAGGAGAGACGGCAAAGGTGGAGAGCGAGCTCCCTTCTGCTGTCAATGAGGCTGAGAAGGTGCCGTCGGCTGATGCAGAATTGCCAACGACTAGGGCAGATGCTACGTCAGCTTCAGCGGAAGACTCTTCCGCCGAGGTTCCTACCGTAGCTTCCGTCGAGACCCCTTTTGAGGCTTCCGCCGAGACTCCAAACCTTGATGACGAATTCCCAGCCTTCCAGAAGAAGTCAAAGAAGGACAAGAAAAAGAAGAAGGGGGGCAAGGTTCAAGACGACATTGACATCACATCGGGAACTGCCACTCCAGCTGAAGCATTTGAAGCTGAGAGTCAGCAATTGCAGTTGCCCAATGTCTCTGTCGAGCCGGTCGAGGCTCCTTTAGATGCCAACTTGCCCGAGTCCAGGCCAATTTTCGCTTCAACCCAAGAGGTGGAGGATCGTTCAGTAGCGGAAACTGTCGCACCAGCACAGGTTCCCTCAGCTCAAATGGACACTGCCATCGATCAAGATTCCATCGCCAAGGACTCCCAGCTTCCAATCAACGCACCATTTGAGGAAGAATGGCCTGAGGCTGTGCCTGTCAAGAAGTCTAAGAAGGACAAGAAGAAAAAAAAGAAGTCCATAGCCGAGGAAAATTTCGATCTTGTATCTGGAACCGCCACTCCGATGGAGACCACCGTCGAAGACACTAAGGGGGAAATAGCACACGTCGACGACGTTACGACTACCGACAGGTCTCTGGCTTCTGATGACAAGACAACATCCGATATCCCACTCGCTGAGCCCCATGTGGAAGCTCCACTTGAGGCCGACCTTGTACAAGCATCGCTTCAGGAGGCAGTACGGCCTTCGTCATCACAAGTCTCACAAGAACAGCTGGCGACAGACCTACAGCAACAACCTCCCGCGCACTTAGCCGAACACCACCCTGAGCCATCAACTTCTTCGAAATCTATCGAAATTGAGCCAGAGAAGGTTGCCGGGGAGACAGTGGCTGCCGAGGAGCCGTCAAAGTTCGTGGTCAAGGAGTCCAAGAAAGGCAAGAAGAAGAGGAAATCTACCATGACCGAGCCGGAACCTCCCGTTCCAGCTGCTGAGGAGCAAGTTGCCACATTGGAACCCTCTGCCACCGATTTCGTCAACGAGCCAAGCACTACAGAGCCCATCGTTGAGAGCTCGGCCATCGAGCCTGCAGAGGAAACGGCCTTGCCTTCTGAGGAGTCGGCTTCGGTGGTTCCGGAGACTGGGCCCGCGGTTGTCCTCACTCAAGATGCCCAGCCAAGACAAGTGACAGAGTCAGACAAGGCATTGACCACTCTGGACCTCGAACACGAGCCGAGACCTCTGAACACCCAGTCTGATGCCACACCTTTGATTGAGCAAGAATCCGTGGCTCCAATCTCAACAGAGATCCTACCTGAGGCTACCTCTGACCAAATCCGATCAAGCAAAACATCTGACATCGTGGCCGAGCCAGAGGTCGCAAACCCTGCTGACCTCGATGATTTCCTACCTGCGAAGAAGAGCAAGAAGGACAAGAAGAAGAAGAAGCGACAGAGCCTAGCATTTGACGACATTGAACCCGAGTCGCCCTTGGCTTCTGGCACCGCAACACCCAAACCTGAGTCGACTGAGCAGCAAGAAACCGAGCAACATTTGGATCAGCAGTCTCTTCCAGTAGAAGGACTTACCTCGAGAACTGAGGACTATGTCTCGACCGAGGAGCCGGCGTTCGCAACAGACAGACCCCTCGATTCCACTTCTATTCCTCAGCCTCTGCCCACCTCCGACCCATCAGCTGGCCCCCAAATGGTGGACATCCTGACAACTGAACGCCACGATGACCTCGATCAAGCCCGGATAGTATCCGATGACAAGCCAGCTGCTCAATCAACGCCGCAGCAGATTGTCGGTGACGGGACATTCTCTGCTGATCAGGTGGATCATGTCCTGTCTAGCGCTCCAATCGATGTGACTGCACAGGATGACAAGCGCAGCTTGGAGGAAACGACCGCACAAGATGTCCGTGAAAGTGTGCTCCCTGAGGACCCCGAAGAGACCTTTGTCGTCAAGAAGTCCAAGAAAGACAAGAAAAAGCGCGCCAGCCAGGTGCAGTTCGAGGAGCCGGCCACGCCTGATCTCGAGACCCTAGATGCATCCGAGCAAGCCCTCTCCGCCGCAGAGCCAGCCCCTGAGGCTGTCTCTCGTGGAATAGTGCAGGGACCCGACGACTTTGACGTTGCGCCGCAAGAACCCATTGCGGAGGAGGTCGTCTCCAAGAAGTCGAAGAAAGACAAGAAGAAGGCCAAGAGACTTTCTTTCGCGGATGAGCCAGAGCAGATCGTTGAGGTGCAGACCAGCGCTCCCGACCTACCTGAAGGCGACTTAGCCGTAAGGAAGGCACCAGAAAACCTCGCAGACACCGTCGCTGAGACTGATATTGCGAAGAGCTCTATGTCTTTGGAAGACCCAAGTTATCAGACAGCGGCGCTGCTCGAACCAGAATCAACAACTCAACCCGCCGTTGCTGGCGATGATGAATGGGACATTCCCGTCACCAAAAAGTCGAAGAAGAGCAAGAAGGGCAAGAAACAGTCAATTTCGCTGGATCGCTCCCCCATTAGCGCCATCTCACGTCCGGAACAAGAACTGGTTGCGTCTAGACCTAGCCGGCCTGAAGATACAAAAGACACGGTTGAGTATTTCGACAGTGCACCGCGCGAAATCACTCGAAGCCCTTCAGCCCCGCCGCCTCCAGAGACTGCGTCGGCTCTCGAATCACCTGCGGTCATTGTCCCCGAGCCTACCGGCGCCAATGCCCTGTCTCCTACTTCGAACAAGTCAGTAGACATCGACCTCACTCCAGCACAAGAGACCAGCAACGTCGTCCATGAGGTGCCTTTCGATCAGGCAAACAAGCGCAAGAAGATGAAGACGAGAGAGTTATCTGATACTCTCCTTCCTGAACCGATTGTTAGCTCTAGAGATGTTGCGGCTGCGTACTTTGACGAACGCGAAACACCAGTCGCGGGCATCAGTAAGATTGGAGATGAGCTTCCCAACCCGGAAGCTGATCTACCGCGTGAGAAAGAGAGTTCTGAGTCAAGCGTGGGCAAAGATGAGCCTCTCCGGGAACCAGAGCCGGCTGCATCACTTGACATCGCCGCTTCGTACATGGAGCACAAGTATGATCACAAGCCAGATGAATCTGTTCAGCCAATCACACCAGAGAAGAAGGCATCCGAGCCGTCATCAGGAATTAGCGCCGCAATTGGGGCAGCAGCAGTTGCCGCCGGTGCAGCAGCCCTCGCCAGCAAGTCGAGCAGCGGTAAGAAGAAGAAGGGAAAGAAGTCGAAGTACGAGGATAAGCGCGCAACGCAAGAAGAAGACATGTTTGACGATCCTTCTCTCTGGGAAGGAGCCGATAGAAAGCATGTCAGCGAGATTGCAAGCAAAGAGGTGGAGGATTTTTGGGGCGGCGGCGAGGATTCAGCCGATGACCAGCTGCCTGAGCAATCAACAAGAACGAGCATGATGGCGGACGATGTCTTTGGCCCCTCACTTCAACATCAGGAGGGCGCTCCGATCCAAGCTCAAGAGCCCGGCGCGTTCCCAGTATCTCGAGGCTTGGACGAAGACGTATCGAAAGGAAGGTCACAGAAGGAGGAAAGGGCAAAGGATGTTTTGAGTCTCGCAGCACCACTCAAGGAAAAGGCTCAAGACGACAACGTTGAGAGTCCGATTCTTGGCAGAGAAATTGGACCAGAGCAAGCGAGCGAGCCTACTGCCATGACGACACAACAACGCTCATTGAGCCGGGGTGCCAGGTCACCCATGACAAGCACCATGGTGAGCGATATGGACGAAGCAGTCGATCGTGGGTTCGAGGCCGAGACCCGTCGCGATCTCTTCGTTGGCCGTTCACCAAACAGCCCGGAACGGACCTTTGAGATGAGCGGTTTCCGGAGCCCGGTGCCGAGCATCTTGCCGCCTGTTCAAGAGGAGGGTCACGATGGAAGCGATATTGAGCCTCGATTGTTGTACAGACCTGCTTCTCGCACAACCTCGGGCTCACCAGACCCAACCCGAGACAGCGGGTTTGTACCCAGCTCACCTCATCCGCTCAGAAGGGGAGGTTTCGATAATGAGGAGCAACGGGACAGCGGTGTTCATCTTCGGGACTGGCAGGAGCAAAGATCACCAGGCCGAGATGGACAACGGACACCCGAGTTGAGGGTTCACAGAAGCGAAAGACGACGATCTCGAGAGCTGGAGAGAGCAAAGTCGCCGGAGAAGACATTATTCGAAGGAGAGGCTCGTGATCACCCACTTTCCAGGACACCGGTCCTGCGAGAACCTGCAGGACGGGAGTTGACTCCAGAGCCGCAAAAACACAAACGGGGCATCAGCCCAGAGCTCGAGCGACGAAGAAACAAGTATCAGGACCTTGCGTCGGCTGCCTTGGCTGGTGCAGCAATCAGCAGCACTGTCTCGTCACCACGCAGCACTCCGCCACCAGGCAATCGCAGCGTTTCCGACAGGGTCGCACGCCTGCAGTCTCCGGCACCTACAGCTACAGAGCCTATAGCGCGCAGATCCATGTCCAACAGCAGCCTGTCACGACACCGGCGGGCGACTGGGGCGCTAACGCCAGAACCACTAAAGTTCCGGCCTGAGAGCCCAGGCATCCAACGGTCAGGCACCGCCACCCCGCCTCTTCGCCGGGTCGACAGGCGTGTAAGCGGAGACCTACGATCCATCAGCCAACGAAGTCAGCTTGACCTCAACAAGGACCCCAAGGACCCGACCAGCTCCTCCAACACCCCCGTCGCCAACGAAGGTCGTGTCCGTACCAAGGACATGGCCGACGTCTTTGTAAGTAACGCACATTCTTTTTTTTCCCCATTTGTCTCTGTCTGCTCTTATGCCTCACCGCCTGCGGTTCCAGGTGTTGTTTGTTTTTGCTAGAAGCGCTTGTGATAGCGTCGCCAGCCACCGAGCGAGACAACTTTGACTGACTTCAATCGTAGGATGGATTCGGTGAAGGCCGCATCGGCTCTCCCCGATCGCCTACCCGTCCACACAGCATGCGGCGTCGCCAGAGCATGCAAGTCCTCGAGCTCGAGTCTCGCGTCGAACAATTGATGGCCGAGAACCGGATGCTCACAGACTCCCGATCCCACACCGACACCCAGAACAAGAACAGAGACTCTGGCATTCTGGCAGAGCGCGATGCCGAAATCGACGTCCTCAAGCAATCGCTTGAGTTTCTACAAAAGGAGGTTGCCCGATTGACAGAGGTCAACGAGGGCTTGAATAGCGCCAATACCCAACTTGCTGCCCAACACAATGAGCGTTACCGATCATTGGAGACCCAGCACTTTGACGCCTCGCGGCAATTGGAGCAAGCGCGCACCGAGCATAATCACTTCCAGGAGTCACTGCTGCAAAAGGATGCAGAAATTGGCCGCCTGCGCTCCGAACTCGACGCGGCCAAGGATAAGATCCGACAGATGCAGCGCCAGATCCTGGCATCCAAGGGCGCTGACAGCGACTTCCTCAATGTCAAGGACGTCGACCACTTTGACCACAGATGTCAGCAACTCTGCTCTCACGTACAGCAGTGGGTTCTGCGCTTCTCCAAGTTCTCCGACATGCGCGCCTGCCGCAAGACAAACGAGATCAATGACGAAAAGGTCATTGACCGTCTCGACAACGCCATCCTGGATGGCACCGACGTGGATACTTATCTCGGCGACCGTGTCAGGCGCCGAGATGTCTTCATGTCCATGACGATGAACATGATTTGGGAGTTTGTGTTCACTCGCTACCTCTTTGGCATGGACCGCGAGCAGCGACAAAAGCTCAAGTCGCTGGAAAAGCTGCTTACCGAGGTCGGCCCTCCCCCGGCCGTTCGACAATGGCGCGCCGTCACCCTGACGTTGCTCTCCAAGCGCCCCAGCTTCAAGCACCAGCGCGACCTCGACACCGAGGCCGTGGTCCAGGCCATTTTCCAAACGCTGTCCAGGGTCCTCCCTCCCCCTTCCAACCTGGAGGACCAGATCCAATCACAGCTGCGCCGCGTGATGCGGGAGGCCGTCGACCTCTCCATCGAAATGCGCACCCAGCGTGCCGAGTACATGATGCTCCCGCCGCTGCAACCAGAGTACGACGCCGACGGCGAGCTCGCCGACACGGTCACGTTCAACGCGGCGCTCATGAACGAGCGCAGCGCCGACAAGTCGGCTACCAACGAGGCTCTCGAGGCCCAGAGCGCCGTCGTGCGCATCGTACTGTTCCCGCTCGTCGTCAAGAAGGGTGATGACGGCGGCAACAATGACGACGAGATTGTTGTGTGTCCTGCCCAGGTACTGGTGGCTCGGTCCAAGGGCAAGTCCGTTAGGCTGTTTACGCCCGGGAGCGACGCTGGCGGTGCGTCGCTCAGCGGGCAGACGGCAGCCACGCGCAGCGATCTCAGCATGGGTACTTTCTTGCCTGATCAAGCCTCCAACTTGCGGTAAAGGAGCTTGCCTTCTCGCAACGTCAAGGAGTACCATGTGCGTGACAGAGAAGAGGGGATAATCTGCAGAGGAAAAAGTATGGTGTGATATAGATGTAATGGAACGGACGGAGGTCCCAAAAAATAGGGTTGTGGGACAGTACATTATATGGGACGATCAAGTACACATTGGTTTTAAGGGAAACGGGATACCAACAAACAAGAACAACCAAAGATTACGAAGTTTACGAAGATATTCCCACTTGTTCTGGCATCGGGAGGGAACAGTATGGGACGGCTAGGAGAGGGAAAGGGGGAGGGGTTTCGAAAAGAATGGCTTTTTTTTTTTTTTTTTTTTTTTTGCAGAGTGCACGACGATACCTCTTGGGTTACTATTTATTTCATTTTACTTATTTTTTCCATTTCATCAATCATGAAAACAAATTCTCGTCGTAATCTGTGCCATGTCCCGATTGATGCAACATCATGGAGTTTCGATGCCCAACACACTGGCTCTGGTGAAGATGTTTTTTTGTTTTTTTTGAAGAGAATTTCACTTTCTATTACGCTCTACCTCATTGCAGACGTTTCACCCCGCATCTCACCTCGCCGCTCCCGACATAGTTCCTCCGGGCATTTCAGTCGCTCATAATGAACCATTAGTACAACTCCCCTCCCATTGCTAGTCCTCCTCTATTAAGCCTCGTGAACCCAAGAGATTCCTATTCGTGAAACTTTTCTTCCCTAGGTAGTGAAGACTTTGCCCCCTTCAAACTCCGCATTACGCATAAATAAAAGTAGCCGTGGTATCGTGGATCTTTTTTGAGCTTGTGGCAGCAGGAGCTTTCCAAGGCATTGAAACATGGTCGCGGGAAATGTCGAATACATCAAAGCAAGAAAAGCAACAATGAGCAACAAGAAAGAAACCATGCAGTCTTGGTGTCCTCTCATCGTTGGGCCCACTGGAATCCGTTCACCAACCCGAGCGTTGGGTCGTTGAAGCCAGAAATGTTCAGTTCGCCCGTGTTAGGATCATGAGGGAACAGGTTGTTGATGATGTCCTGGCAAAAGATGGTCAGCAAATTGCACAGTCACAAGTATGGGGTAACTAGATGAACCTACCCAGTCTACGCCCTCGAGAGAGTTCATCATGTTCATCGGTTGCGAGGGCCTGTGACCGCCCATACTGGCCCCGTCGCTGACGCTTTCCGGGCTATCTGCGTTTACGGGCGGCATACTCCAAATGGCCTCGCCGTTCGACACGCCTGCGAAGACGATGCCTGGAGGCGGGCCCTGCATCTGCGCATTGGGCGGAGACGCCATTCCCGGGGACCCCATGCCGCTCATCGGTGAAGATTGTTGCATACCAGGACCACCCATGCCAGGCTCTGCTTTGAATCCCATCGGCATGCCCTGCCCTGGGTGTGGCTGCTGGGCGTTTTGGGGCCCCTGGTTTTCGTTTCTCACGTTGACGGCAGTCTTGTTCAGCGGCGCTCGTGAGGTTCCCGTCGGTGCACGCATCTTGCGCATGCTCTGGTATGTTTGCATTTTACCCATGATCTCACCCAAAATCTGCAAGCCCTTGATCTCTGGTGGCAGGTCTCGGTCTGTACCGAATACGTAATCCAGACAAGCCCAGATACGGTGGGCCTCCCTGTTCTGCGGTCGGTAGTAGATCTCGGTGGCCAAGAGTAAAGCAATCTGGAATTGTTGGTAGGCGCCCAGATACCAGGCCCAGTCTCGGAACTGTGGGTCATTCTCAAGCTGTATCGAGATCTCAATGATCATGATGCCGGAGGTGACGAGGAGATTATTGAGGCGGTGGGTCATGGGACTGTTGGCATTGGCGTGGTAGGGATGAAGGATCATAACGTGGAGGCGGTAGAGGAGGAGATTCATGACCAACTTGGCGTAGCGTTGAATAGGGATCTCGCCATCGAGCAAGTGTTCGTACTTTTCCACCATCCGCCGCCTAAAGTTTTCAATCTTCTGGAGCACGGCAGTGAGTGTCGTTTTGCGGGTTTCGAGCCTGCGGCGGTCCAGCCAGATTACGCGCATCATCTCGTTACACTCGGTCCGAATCGCTGATAATAATGAAGAGGTCCACACGTCCGCGGGCTCAGGGGGTGGCCCGGCAGCGTAGAAGTCTTCTTCTTCGCAGTTGAGCGGGAGTTTGGTATCGTAATCTTCTCTCCTAATGGCCGGCCTGGGGCCTTGCGCCTCACAGGTGCGGATATCGAGGAAGCATAGTTGATGCCAGATGAGCCTCCGAACGTGGGTATCCAGGGGATTTAGTCCGTATGTCTCACCATCTCTGTGCAAACCCATACACTCCGCCATCCTGACAGCAGCACCAACCAGAACGGAGTGAGCTCGAGACACCTCGGCTCTGCAGAGTGGGAGCTATAGTTGGTGTCAGTAATAGGCATGATGAAACGCACAAAGGCGAACGTACCATATACATGATGAAAGCCTGCATAGTTTCCACTCTCGTCGTGCGCAGGAAATTGGCCTTTCCGAGAGCTCTCTCTGTCTCGGTCTTCATTCGATCGATCAAGTTGGCCTTGGTGACACCAAACAAGTTCCTTACTGTCGGATCGTCCATACTCACGGCGGCACTGAACCAAGCCGCAAACATGACGGCTTGAGTGGAGGCCCTAGGTTCAATGTTGCTGTAGACTTCATCCCAGAAGTTCACATACTCGGCCTCAAATGACGGTCTGTGAACACATCGTGCAATAGGATGAACCGCTGCGAAGTACTGCTGCGTGAGTCGATCTGCAGCCTCCTTTTGAGGCAATCTCCTATCAAGGGAGAGGGCTTCGGGGGTGTGGCCAAAGAAGAAGCCACTCGAGGGCGGGATATAGGATTCGCCAGGCCTCAGAAAGTCGGGAATCGAGTCACCAGAGCTTCCGCTCACGACGGACATGGCATCCATGCCGGGTGGTGGACCACCAAAGCCGGGATACCCAGGAGGCGGTCCACCACGGGGCGGCCCGCCTCGCCCGGCCCCGCCCATGCCCCTACCGCCTATCATGGCCATCATCCCGCCCATGCCACCCATCGGGCCACCCATCGGACCACCCATAGGACCACCCATTGGACCACCCGGAGGTGGACCTCCAGGAGGACCGCCCGGGCCAGATATACCAGCCGAGATCTATCTATTGTGTTAGAACATCGCTGGCTCGAGACAGGGAATCAAGTTCTGGAATTTGACCCGTGAAAAGTAAGAAATGGAGTCAAACACACCTCTTCGGCTATCCTGGGTCTGGACAGGCCACCGATACGCTCTGTGATACGCATGCGACCAACTTGAACTCCCAGGTCAATAAGATCGTCGGTTCCGTCTGCATCTTCTTCGTACGTGACATCGAGAGCCGTCATGTCTGTGGGCTCTAGATCGCGTTCCTCGGCAAAGTCGTCCTCAACATCGTCGGCGAGGATAGCTTGCTGCTGGGCGGCGCGGGACGTCTTGGCGACATCGCGCTCCAACTGGCGCTCCAGGGATCCAACCTTTTCCTTGATCTCTGTCAGACGAAGCTGACTGGCCTCGTCGAGCTTGGGGCTGAGGTAGACGCAGTCGCGCGAAAACTTCATGCAGTTGACACATGGCTGAGACTTGTTGCACTTGAGCTTCCTGCGACGGCACTCGAGGCAGGATGTAATCATGCGCATGCGCCTCCGGATAGGCTTGGAGGCGGGACTAGGCGCCCCCGACACAGAAGCGGCCGGGGACGAAGGGCGGTTGGGTGGCAGACCGGTCATGCCGTGCGGCGCGGAAGACGTTGCTGAGCCCGGTGAGTGAGCGCCGGGCATGAGGTCAGAGTTTGGTAGGACGCGGGGGCTCGTCATGGGATGCCCTTGTGCGGTTGGGCTCACGGGGTTCATCGAGTAATACTGTGGCTGACCATGGGGTGATTGCGCGGGTGTTTGTAAGTGAGAGTGGCCATGATGGTAGGCGTGTGGGTGTGAGTACGCGTGTGCGTGGTCGTCCATGGGCTGAGCCGAATAGACGGCACCAGCACCGGCGGCGGCGGCGTTGGCGGCAGCGGCAGCGGCAGCAGCATGACGTGCAGCGGGATAGTGCCCAGAGTCCATTTGATTTGGTTGGCGTGTTTGGGCGCACGTCAGGTCAGATCTCGGATTCTTGTCAATGGCCGAGCGTTTGGAAAAGGAGGGTGATATGAGAGGCTGTCGGGATGATAATCGAAGCAAACAAGACGGTCATTCGTTGAAGAGAGTCGAGGGTGCGGTCCAAAGAGGATAGAAACTGGGAACGGTCGAGGGTTACCTGGGTGTTCCGGGGGGAGTTACGGACGTAAAAAAGGACGTGGGCAGCTGGTATTACTGCGGACAGCCTACGGGTGCGAGCCGGGTAGCCAGTGGTGGACGGAGATATGTGAGAGGAGCGGGCGGGACATGCAGGAGAGTTGATTTTTAGTCTGGTCCCTGGTCCTGGACCTTGTTCCCGGTTGTGATGGTGGTTGCGGTTGTGGACGACTAATCCTAGTAAGAAGGGTGAGGTGGTGGTGGTTGGGTGGACGAGTAGGCGAGCGAGAAACCAAGTGTGTGAGAAGAGGACAAGTCGGGGGTGGGCGCACGCAAGTCTATGTAAGTGCCCATCCACGTACGGGTACAGCTTTCTCTCTCTTTCTCTCACCCTCTCACATAGACGCCGGTAGATGCGGAGGACGGCGAAGAAGAGGGTATCCTCGATTAGGCCTGGGGTTGAACTTGATTTGTGTCACGCCGTATCCAACAACGGACAAGAAGAAGACGAAGAGGGAGGAGGGGTGGAGGGGCGTGTCCAACGGAAGCTACCTTGAGGTAAAAGAGAGAGAAAGGAAGAGACAAACGTGGGAACGGGTGACATGGAAAAGAAGAAGAGAACAAGAAGTAGAACAAGCAGAGCAAGACACGAAACGAAGGAAGCTTGTAACTGTTGCGGGAGGGGAGGATGGGGTGGTGGCATGGGACGGGACAGGATCGAAAGAGGGAGTGAGAGTGAGAGAGAGAGTG